GTGCAACCGATGCCCTTTTCCGGTATTTGCGTTGAGGGACTCAGGAGACCCACGAATATCTCGGTCAGAATAGCCGATGACTTGGCCGACATTCGAACCGATCATCTCCCGAATAAAAATGCAGATCTTTACCGCCACACCACCCTACACGATGTAGAAGGTGACGTAATTCTGTAAGCAACACGCCATGAAGACGTACAGGACAGTGGAGGAGGCATTCTTATTCTTGCCGCTGGATGGGGTTGGATCATCTTCAGGCAGAGCCTTTCCTCCTGCGAAAATAGTCCTCTAGCGTCTGATGAGTACTTCTTACTTGTTTAGGATTTATGTGACGACACTGCCAGTAGGTGAGACTATGTGGTGTGGAATAGTATGATGGGTAGAGAATAATGCATTGGAAAGAATGATCGTGACCTAATTTGAATTATTATCCGTGTATTTTCCTGTAGGAACCGAGGAAAGAAAGGGATTATTTGGTTAGCAAATAATGGGTTGAAAAAGATCTGGACGGAAGTGATGTTGGCCAAACTAGAGATGTTGTAGCAACATTTAGAACCATTTAGAGGGAATGAATAAAATGCACGAATAACCTAAAGCAGGATAACCGGTGTCCGGACCGAGATATGAACTCGGAAGCTGCCAAATATGAAGCAAGAGAGCTAATCCCTCGGCCTCGTTTTCCGGTTAGGGAACAGAGTACGTGTTCTGAGCAGACTTCAGAATGTTAAGTTCTTATATATGAGACCTGGCGATAATCCCTTCGTCCTGGGGTCTCAGTTGAAATGACAAATTTTGGACACCAGTAACGGTCTTCATTTCCACGCAGTGACATATCTGTTTCCAGTTCAGAAGCCTGCTGTCCACCAAGTGTCACGTGCGCTGTGTACAATAGACAAGGAAAGTCTACAGTCTAAAGCTGGTGTTTCGAGTATAAACACAATGTACAGCAGGCGGACTCGTTCTTCTTGCTCGAACGCTGTCCGGCTCTATCAGTTTTGCAAACAAACAAGCATAAGCGTTGTCTGAAAGTATTACCTTGTCGTGGAGTCAGGAGTGACAACCATCCCTTCCTGTCATGGAACCTGAAGATTCATTTTCGCGCTCACAAGAGCCCTCCAGTCGTTCCTATATCGTGCAAGGTAAACGCAGTTTGATTTTCACAACATTTTTCTTCAAGATGCATTTTAATATTGTCTTCCTGTCTGCTCCTTCTCCCACATGATCTCTTTCAGTTTCGGTTTCTGACTAAATTTTGGCATATATTTGTCATCTCTCCAGTGATTAATATAAATTTAACGAATTTTGAGAATTTATATATCCCAAATTTGTATTTTGGATACACTTTTCCATTGTTGCTTTGTACGCCTTATATAACGCAATCATCTGAGAACGACAAGAAAAATCTTTCCGTCGCTCAGGCGGGAGATACAGACACTAAATCTAAACACCGTGGCTTGAGTCCGCAAGCGAACTATACCGACCGAGCGCCCGCCGCTTGTCGGCGAAGTTAGTGCCAACTTTAGCGGATAGAGGATGTCGCATGGTCAGTCCAACAAATCCCCAGCCGCTATTTCCTTGAAATAGCTCCTCAGTTTTCCAGACTAGGCTGAGGGGACCCCGTTCCAGAAAAATTTGGTAGCGCCGGGAATCGAACCCCGACTTCTGGATCTGTAGTTTTCCACACGAGGCTGAGGGGACCCCGTTCCAGAGCCACTACTTCTCAGAAAATTTGGTAGCGCCGGGAATCGAACCCCGACTTCTGGATCTGTAGCCAGGAACTCTGACCACTAGACCACAGAGGCTGTCGAAATACAGACACTGACTAAAGGACAGCATGCAAATTCAGAGACCAGACTCGACCCACCACAAGCCTGTACGCATTAGTATCGCCGCAATTATTCATGGAGCAGTAGACGGTTTCAATGTGTTGTTGGCCGGCCAGTCGTAATCCCGAGCCCCTACTAATGTCTTTATTCGGTCGCGTTACATCTTATGATACATACTTGCATGGAGCATGGTTGTGGAGGAAACGGAAGACGAGTTTGGCCTACATTTCAGTATGTTCAATTCTGAAGATAGAAACAGGCGTAGTTGGCCGCTCAGTATACTTTGGACACCCAGGATCTCTACTCCACACGAATTGTTTTTTATTCCAGTGCATATAGGATATTGATGGGAAAGCCAGAATGAAAGACACCCCTGGGAAAACCAAGACGTAGGTGGGTGGACAATATTAAAATAGATCTTAGAGATATAGAATGGGATGGTATGGATTGCACTGATCTGGCTCAGGAGGGCTCTTATGAATTCGATAATGAACCTCCGGGTTCCATAAAATGCTGGGAAATTCTTGAGTAGCTGCAGATTTGGCTTCTCCTCAAGAAGGGTTCATCTCCATAAGTAAGTAAGTAAGTAAGTCTGCTTTAGTATTATGATTATCTTCGATCTGTAAGTATACTGTCAGTTCTTTCAGTAGCACTCAGTTCTACTAACAGTATTTGAAACTTTAATTTAATTTTTCACATCTTAAAAATCCATATGTGTTGCGCTCATGAGAGATTAGATAGAATATGTTTCGCGTGCAGAAAGTACACAGAAATTACTCGTATTCAAATAATTTACGGGCTATTGCGTATTGAAATTCGAGACTTCATGCATTGGCTCTACTTACAGCTTGAGCCGAAAAATTTGCCTCGACGTAGAACAAGAAAATGGACCCCCCCCTCCCCCACATTCTTCTATACGCCATAATTCTGCTGCTAGCTATGGAACTGTTGTCATTGCCTGGCTGTTCAGGTGCATGGAACGTCCTTTTCCACACGCCATGCTAATGTGACTGCATTGCTATGTGCTACCCACAATGGAAACTCCACCGAAACTCAGACGAAGATTGGTTGTGTATACAGTACGTTTAAATTACTTTTCTAGTGGGGGGACTACAGGAAAACCATGCGACAACTATTGTTGAGTGTGTGCCCCCAGGTGTGTTGGTTTCTTTCACTTCCCCTTCTCCAGTTCAGACAGTCCAGTCTTCACTCGCCCCGATCAGGGCAGATTTATCTCACTCGATCTCCGCAACACTGAGGTCCTCAAGGGATTAGTATATTCGATGACACCTTAAGTAACAGATTGTCGAAATGAAACTTTTGTGCAGAATTGACGATTGTCTGTGAAGCTGCCTGTGCAGATATTAATGAAATGAAGAAGTGTACTCCAGATTTAAATACACAGACTTTCGAAATGCGTTCTTCGTGTTTTTTATAGGCCTACCTATTTGGCCTTCATGTTAGTTTATCAGAAGCGGCGCCCGTTAAGACAGAACGGTTCACCATAATCACGAAGTTCAGTCGTAAGTATTTATGATACATTATAAATTCCTGATATGTAAACCATAGCTGGCTAATTAACTCAATAGAGACGAGTCCTTCTTGATAAACCTCCAGTTGCTCAGCTACCCAAGAAATTCCTAACAGTTTATGGAACTCGTTCATTACAGTGTTCACAATAGCCCTGTTTAATTCAGTCCATACCACTCCGTCATACACGTATTTCTCCAAAATTTATTTTAATATTGTCTTCCAACCTACGTCTAGGTCTTCCTAGTGTTCTGTCTCCTGGAGCGCTACATGCCCTGCACTACAAGGCATAAACAATGTACGCGAGCTCACCCGTGTTTCTCTGATGGCTACATGCTTCCCCAGCCAGGAGCGCTGCTGTCGCGTAGCAGATGGCCGCGAGTCGGGAACTTTGGTAATAAGCGAGAGTGGCTGCCTGTCCATGTCTTGTTCCCAGGCCAGCAAGTCTAGTAGTGGGAGCAGCTTTCTTCCTCCTTGTACATGGACTTGAATCAGAAGCTCGTGTAACGAGCGGGACTGCCTTGCCGTTGTACATGGCCCGAAATCAACAGTTCTTCTAATGAAGGAACTGTCTACTTTTGTACACGAACTCATGTAAAAAGTGGGCTTTCTGCCGCGCTCTACATTAGGAACTTCTGAAAGACTGACCTATCTGCCCCCTTGTCTTTAATGAAGTGCCTGCTTTCTTCATAAGGCCCTGTGCGTTTTGTTATCTATATTTATCTGCATATAAAATTAATTTATAAAAAATATTTCATTATTTTATTTGCTTCATACTCGACATGTTTAATTTGTTTTTGATACATTATTAGGAGTGTAAATTTTAACGTTTCCTGGTATGAAGTTTGGTGAAGGTATCTTTGTCGCACGTTTTACACGTTTCCTACAAACCTATTTTAAAGTACCTGACAAAACATGATTCTTAATGAAATAGACTCTCCATTAGTATTGTTTCAAAACTATTATTCCTTCCGTCCTTTTAGTAAGAAAGACAAAAACGCGCGGATAACTAGGAATATCACAGAAATATTAATTATTTCTAACAACAGAGAACAAGACAGTAGCAGGAAAAGGAAAGATGAACGAAAGATTATGAATTAAAACAATATATTGATATACAAGGTATAGCCCCAGACAAAAATGCTTAAGTATCATTTTTCATATATTTAATATATTAATGCTGTTTTACGTGTGAGAGTGGAGTTCCAGCCATGACCATCACGTGTAACCTGTCCTTTAATAAATAAAAGTTACTCATACTTCTTCAGGACAATTTGGAATTGTACTCCTACATAGTATTTCCTCTTCTCCTTTCTTTGCCCCCGATTTTCGGGGACGGTCTCCGAAACGAGACTTATGTCCAGGACTTGCGGCGCCATAGCTCAAGCGGTTAGTCGCTGGCTTCCCACCGCGGCGGCCTGGGTTCGATCCCGGGTCTGGTCAAGTGGGATTTGTGGTGGACAAAGTGGCGCTGGGGCAGGTTTTCTCCGAGTACTTCGGTTTCCCCTGCCAATCTTCATTCCACCAGTTGCTCCACAATCACCCTCACCTATCATCTGGGGCTGGTACAATAGGCCAGAAGTGGCCGCAGTACAAGGAACTTAGTCCCACTCCACTAACAATAAAAAAAAAATATGTCCCGGACTGATTTTTTCCGCAGTTTTGCCACTGATTTGTTAAATAAATTAATGCAATCAGAAATCATGGGACTGGGATAGCTCAGTCGGTATAGCGACGGGCTACGGTGTAGACGATGAATTGAGATTGATAACAAAGGAGCCAAGTCGCGAAATACTTGGAGATCAGCGAGATACGCAGGAGGCGGTGAAAGCTTTGGTAACAAACTTCGTCAGTTAAGTTTAGCATTATTAGAATTCAGCAGAACTTCATATGCTTGCCAGCTTCTGTGCTATAGGAGATGCCGCTGTCTCCAGGTATTTCAAACCAAGCTATTAATACTGAGAAAAAACACATTAATTAAAACATGACTATAGGATGTATTGTGTACCATTTAAATGTCAGCTACTTACTCAGGTTCCCACCACTGACTTTAGAATGTTTGTCCCCTAAATTAAGAAATTAATTTTGATACTAAAATGTACCACCGATGTGTTTTTGTCTTTAACTGCCATAGTTGTAGTTTCGAAAACGAAGGTCTGTTCGCTGGCTCCAAATTTCCCTTGTGTGGATAGCAGATGAGGCAACATCGGTGCATTGACGCTGCTGGGTGTCATTGTTGTTTGTACCGGTCGAGCAGACTAATCATCGGGTCGTAGAGAATTCGATCTACGTTGGTAGCCCACAGAAAACTGAGATGGCTGAAGGATGCAGAAGGAACCAAGAAGTTGCCGATGAGGTTGCGAAACTGATCCGCCAGCCAGGACACATCCTGCGACAACAAAAACATTCATCACTTCTGTTGTGGCTCTCGAAACAATGCTTGATAGTGTTCCCGTTAAGTAAGGTCGAAGGGGCGGTGACGCTTCCGTAGCTGTGCTGTTCTTTGTGGTCGGGAAATGTAGGGTAGGAAAGGCGTACAGAAAAGTGTGGTGTAGACTTGCATGCGGTAGGTACTCCGTTTGAATCTCGGCTCGAACAGCGGTCATCTTGACTGAGATTTCTGGTGGTTTTAGTCAGGCAGCTCCAGGCAAATGCTGTGATAATACATCGATTGGTCAAGGCGATTCCTTTCAGATCCCTTCCAATCCGTCTGTCATCCTACCATTCGACACAATATAGTTTCGATGCTGGAAACATCATTAAATAAGCCACGAAAAGAAGGAACATGGAAGTTGCGGACTGCCCGGAAGAACTGGCAGTATCTCGCATGGCGGTAGAAGTGACGATATATTTTCTCCAAAAATATTTTATGCTCGGTTTTAGTTTTGTATAAAGCCGACCGAATTAGCAGAGTCATTTCTTTCTGCATTGCTAGTAGTGTGAATTTCGCTTGTAGTGAGTGGTGGCCGTGTTTCATAGCGGAAATTCGGTACGGGGCCGTTAATCCGAATTGTGCAATGTCACGGATGCACCAAGCTCTGGCCTAAACAGGCTCCATCCCCTGGCAAACACGGGTGGGGTGGGGTGGGGTGGGGTGTATATTATATGATATGTTATCCAACAAAATAAGTTTTTGTGGCGCGAAGGATTCTCTGTGTTTCTGATTACCGATTATTATTATTATTATTATTATTATCCTTAACAGTAATGTTAGGCAAAGCAGACTCATCTCTCATATTAATAATTTTTTTTAATTCGCTTAGTGGAGGGTGGAGTCCAACTGGGTCCACTCGGCACGGCGGCCACTGATTGGCCTGTTGTAGTCTTCCCCGGTGATTATGATAATGGAGAATTTGGTGGAATGAAGATTGGTAGGGGTAACCGAAGTACTCTGAGAAAACCCGCCCCAGCGACACTTTGTCCACCACAAATCCCACTTGACCAGACCCGGGATCGAACCCGGGCCGCCGCGGTGGGAAGCCAGCGACTAACCACTTGAGCTATGGTGCGGCCCTCATATTAATCAGTTGGTATGTACAATATATTTACTTATAACCATTCTGTTTTTTATTTACTTAAACTTTTATTTAAATTAATTTCTAATTTTTCTAATACAATCTTTATAGAATAAGTATTTCAAAAGTTGCATTCTGTTTTCTTCACAAAAGCAGTTCCAGTGCTGCTGATAGTAATAACCAATACAGATTCTGCTATTTTTTTTTATAAAACCGACGCTGCGCGGCCCGCAAAGAAATGTGATTTGGGAGTGTGGCTCTTTGAAAAGTGTTCTATATCATTGGCCTTTATAAACATGACACTCACCAACTTATGGAGGTGAGCCCCTCTTGAGAAACCGCCAATTACGCAGCTACTCAAGAACTTCCCAGCATTTTATGGAACCAGAAGGTTCAGTGCCGTGTTCACAAGAGCCCTCCACTGGTCCCTATCCTGAGCCAGATCAATTCAATCCATACCATCTCATCCTGTCTCACAGATTCATTTTAATATTGTCCACTCACCTACGTTTTGGTCTTCCTAGTGGTCTCTTTCCTACTGGTTTTCCCACCAATATCCTATATGCATTCCTCTTCTTCGCCATTCGTGCTACATGCCACGCCCATTTCATCCGCCTTGATATCATCATTCTAATTATAACTTGGAGAAGAATACAAGCTATGAAGTTCCTCATTATGTAGTTTTCTCCTACCTCCCGTCACTTCATCTCTCTTTTATAAAGAAGACAAGGAACCCAAATGAGCAAAAGAAACCCATCTTGAGCTCTTATTGTGGCTGATAAGCATATGAAAGAAGAATAACCAAATATATTAAGTTTATGGAGACATTTCTCTTCGCAACCCATTTGGTTCATAAAACTTTAGAGGTCAATACACACTGCAGTTTTCCCATTTGTTTTGTTTCATTAAGGGACCAACATAAGTTACGGGTGTATCAGAAAGTGCTCACAACACATCTCAATCTGAGAAGGAAACAACACTAGACAATTGAAGGTATCACATACCCCGGAACTTTGTGATATGTAGAAGTCATCAGATATTGTTAGGTAATGATTTCTATGTAATGATAGGCTAGATATATTAATTGAATGTCGGAGGTGTGGAGTAAATGTAGAATTCTATTTAGGAGCCCTTTAGGAAATCGGCTACTTCGAAAACTGAGGAAACGGCAGGTCCTGTGAGGAACAGTTTGTGATGGCACGAGATGGACGAAGACGCTCAGTATCTTGTCAAATTGCAGGCGTTAGCACCAGAAGCTTCAACACTTGCGGTTTATAAGTTGAAGATATTGTGGCTTCAGGCGCCTTGTAGTTTGGTAGTTAGATATCAACGTTTCGGAGGAATCTGCTGCCTCCATCTTCAGAGGCACGGAAATAGGAAAGGGAGGAGAGGGGCCGGTGCTATAAACGAACCACAAGGGACCAATTATCCAGCAAAAGGACGTTGCCCGTAAGTGAGGAAAACCTAAGAATTGTAGGAAGAAGGAAGGCGTGGAAGAGGAAAATAAAATAAAATAATAAGTGAAGTTCCTTTTCATTTTTTCAAAATAAGGAAACTGCTGCTAAAACCAATCGTCTACTTTACTTAGATACGACATGAACTGCATAAAAACACCGTTGCCTAGCAACAGTAAGGAGGACACATGAAAACAGGGCTCCAGTATTTCGGCTTTCAGGATTTGGGGAGGAGATACACAGCGAGGTGGTCCCATAAACCTCTTTTTATTTTTTCAAAATAAGAAGGGTTATAGGGAGAAGGGTATAAATAGAACAAAGTGGAAAAACGCCGCGTCGAAGGTCTTAACAACGTTCCGGCAGCAATTTCAGCTTCCATCTTCAGGACTATTATCCTCTGAAGTGGGATTTTGAAGCCCTTATGTAGAGCTGGCCATGGGTGGTGAGTGGGAGATGAAAGAGTGATTGGGCAAGAGAGGACAAAGGTCCTACCCAGTAGGGAGTGAACACGTGGCTAATAAAAAGAAATGATGAAAAATGGTTTGCTTCTCCTAATCGTGTATGCATCGATGTGGATTAATGAATGATATTCCAGTCCATAGAGAGAGCGTTTGAACTGTGGCTTGCTGTCTGGAGGACCCTTGAAGCACAACGTTGTTACATTATGTACAGATGGATGGTTATGTGACTGGCTGAAACTTTAACCTTATGATACCATATGCGATGTAATGTGTGGTAATTGAACTGTCACATGCTAGAAACTTTATTGTAGAATTGTTAATTTTAAAGTTCTAGAGCTTGTCTCGTGTCATGGATGACTGACTGCAATTTTGGTGACATGATCAAAGATTGCTCCACGGTTACTCACTTTCAGCAGATTAATCTGCTTCTAATATTTGATGTTGCATAATTTAAGTTCTGCCTGTTATATTTTGAAAACTAGAGGAACATTTTGTATGATGAGATGCTTTGTATTTTCGTCGGTTAGTAATTTATAAGCAGTAAAACAAAGCATGTTCTGGTTCACTGAAATTGTAGCTTCCACATGAAATAATGTTTCCATCTGTACAGTAGGGTTACATATAAACATCCAGCGCTACAAAAGTGAGATATTTATTCAGTGAAAGGGATAATCCTTTACGCATGGACATTCTTAAAAGTGTACTGGTGGAGGTGATCTTGCCGTGTTATATAACCGATTGACATTACTGGACGGCTGTTGAGTCTCCACATTCTCGTGTCTTAAGTTACTTTGACGGCTGTTGAGCCTCCACATTCTCATGACTTAAGTTACTTTGACGGCTGTTGAGCCTCCACATTCTCATGATTTGAGTTACTTTGACGGCTGTTGAGTATCTCCTCATTCTCGTGATTTGAGTTACTTTGACGGCTGTTGAATGCCCTCTCATTTTTGTGATTTGAGTTACTTTGACGGCTGTTGAGAGTCTCCGCCTTCTCATGATTTGAGTTACTTTGACGGCTGTTGAGTATCTCCTCATTCTCGTGATTTGAGTTACTTTGACGGCTGTTGAATGCCCTCTCATTTTTGTGATTTGAGTTACTTTGACGGCTGTTGAGAGTCTCCGCCTTCTCATGATTTGAGTTACTTTGACGGCTGTTGAGTGTCTCCTTATTCTCGTGATTTGAGTTACTTTGACGGCTGTTGAGTGTCCCCTCATTTTTCTGATTTGAGTTACTTTGACGGCTGTTGAGTGTCCCCTCATTTTTGTGATTTGAGTTACTTTGACGGCTGTTGAGTGTCCCCTCATTTTTGTGATTCGAGTTACTATGACGGCTGTTGAGTATCTCCTTATTCTCGTGATTTGAATTACTTTGATGGCTGTTGAGTGTCCCCTCATTTTTGTGATTTGAGTTACTTTGACGGCTGTTGAGTGTCTCATCATTCGCGTAATTTGAGTTACTTTGACGGCTGTTGAGTGTCCCCTCATTTTTATGATTTTAGTTACACTGACGGCTGTTGAGAGGCTCCACTTTCACTTGACTTGAGTTGAATGAATGAATGAATGAATGAATGTATAAGGGGTGGGCCTTCTTGGCCCTTGCACCGCGACCACAGTGATCTATTGTGCCTCCCCTTACTTGAGTTACTTTGACGGGTGTGGAAGTCTTTGGGTTGAAAGTCTAGCAACAGATTTGCGACGCTTGTTTTCAGTAGCTCACATTATATATATATATATATATATGGCGTCGAATGAGGAGAAATGAATTAGAGGGAATGTGGAAGGAAGCGGGTGTAGCCTAGTTTGTGGTATAATCCCCGAATTTTTCTAAAAGAATTAAGGAAAACACAAAGCTCTCAAGTAGGCCTTCTGGCCGAGATTTGAACGCGGGACCTCCTGAATACGAAGCAGAAGTACCATTCACTGAACCACGACATTCGATTTCAAATTTAATTAAAGGGCGAGTGCAGTGAGAATGTGAAAAATTATAATCTCTGTATACTTTGTGAGGGAGGTGAACTTTATTACACGTATGTATGGGAGTTATATCTCATTTTGGTCCGCATTTATTGTGACTTACTTTACAACCTGACCACATAAACAGCATGAATTAAGTAGCCAGTACTTCTGTTTTGGAGGCCAAATTTTAGGTTATAAATTTGAAATCTCCCAGAGATTACAATTCGCACGCAGAACACACACGCATAATGCAACTGACGCTTAGAGAAGATCTATTACCTGTGTGTACGTGTGTACATATATGAAGTTGGCCGCATTCGGGCAAAGCTATGTTGTTTTCTGCATGAATTACTTCCGCCGGATTCCAAGCAACCCTTGTAATTCACTCTGGTATTTAGAACAGTGTTCGTATTAGTGGTAAGGCCTCTTGACATATACTCACTTGGTCGGTCTAACCACTACGGCTCTGCCTGTAATGAGGACTGGCCATTTTGAAGCAACTCGTGCGAAAATTAATTGTTGATTTAGTATAAGAAATTCTACTGTATTATACCATATGATTCTCCTGACTGTGTGTCAGGGGTTTGTTACGTGTCATATGCAGTTCAAGCACAGCAGTTTTTGAATAGGAACTAGAGAATCCATTCTTCGTCCGGCTTTTTATTAAGGTAAACTGTACTGAGCCGGTCACGGTAGCCCAGCGGTCTAAGGCATCTACTGTCTGCGCTCGCTTGGAAACCGGGATCGTGGGTTCGAATCCCACTCAGGGCATGGATGTTTAGTTTGTGTGTGTGTGCGTTTTTCAGTGTTTGTGTACAGGTAGAGGCCTTGCGACGAGCTGATCACCCACCCAAGGAGTCCTACGTTTGTGTAAGATCTAGAAAAAAAACCGAAGTGAACGCAGAAGTTCATGGAGGTAGGCCTAGGCCCATTAGGGCTGTAGTGCCAAGGGGGGGGGGAACTGTACTGAATTAATGGTGAGCAGGGGCACATAACACGGAATAGCACCAACTCTACGGGCTGGACCACAGGGGAATATGTGCCCGATTCCCAGCGGGGAAGAGATTTCTATCTTCACTTCCGTATCCAGACAGATTCTGGGGCCTACCCAGCCTCCTATTGAATGGGTGAGGTGAAGCGGCCGGGGCGTGAAGCTAACAGCTAACGTCCATATACTGCCAAGTTTTGGAATGCGTGAAGTTACGCCTCCTGTCGCCCATACGTCTTCATGTTTGGTGTTTATTTAAACACAGGGGTCAACTTGACCTCTACCCTTTACTGAAACAGTAGTGTTTATAATGGCTTGAAGCGTGATAATTCGCCATGAGTGCAGGAAATAAATTGAGGATGTTGAGAGTATTTCGGCTTCAGTGGGAGATGTAATAGGAAGGTGGAGAAAATTGCACGATAAGGAGCATTACTATTTTTTTATTGCTAGTGGGGTGAGACTAAGTCCCTTGTTCTGCGGCCACTTCTGGCCTATTGTACCAGTCCCAGATGATAGGTGAGTTGATTGTGGAGCAGTTGGTGGAATGAAGATTGGCAGTGGAAACCGAAGTACTCGGAGAAAACCTGCCCCAGCTCCACTTTGTCCACCACAAATCCTACTTGACCAGACCCGGGATCGAACCCGGGCCACCGCTGTGGGAAGCCAGCAACTAACCGCTTGAGCTATGTCGCGGCATTACTATTTTCAGCCTTCACCAAATAGTACGTGTATTAGTATGATCAAACCAAGGATCGCCTCTGTGGTCTAGTGGTCAGAGTTCCTGGCTACAGATCCAGAGGTCCCGGGTTCGATTCCCGGCGCTATCAGATTTTCTGAGAAGTAGTGGGTCTGGAACGGTGTCCACTCAGCCTCGTGAGGATAATTGAGGAGCTATTTTAAGGAAATAGCGGCTCAGGTCTAGAGAATCGAATTAACGGCCGTGGGGATTCGTTGCGCTGACCATGTGACTTCCTCTATCCACTAAAGTTGGCACTAACTTCGCCGACAAGCGGCGGTCGCTCGGTCGGTATGGTTCGCTTGCGGACTACAGACCACGCAGTTTGTTTTTGTTTTGGTCAAACCAAGAGGGTGGGATGGGCGGAGACGTAGCACGCATGGAATAGATGAGAACTACATACGCAGTTCTGGTCAATATACCTGAACGCAATATTCTATTCAGGAGACCAAGCATAAAATAGAGTGAACTGTTGCAGTGGATGTGAGAATGTGACTAATTTCGATCGACCTAGTGTCCGGTGACAGGTTTTCTATACACGGCGCGGAAGGCCCGGAATTTCTTGTCTATCTGAGTGACTGCTCGTATAGAACAGGAGTAGCGTATATATGCAGAATGGCTCAGAAGCAACAGCAGGACGCGAAAGAGGTGAAGCGTAAAATAGATATACACGTAGAAAGGGATCCCAGATTCTCACAGCCTTGGGTATGAAGAGTTCTGTCTCCTGGTATATAACACCGAGCAGTCAGTTGAAAGTCACCCAGCATGAAACAGGCAGCAAGCGGAGCCTGTCTGCTTTATCCTGGCTCTTGTTTGACTTACTCTTTGACCCTGAAGATGGAGGATGTATGTTCTACCGAAACATCTGTTGAATTTCACCGGACTAGACGACGATATATGCCAAAATATTAAACTTTTCATAGCCACTTTCCTGAGAACATAATATTCTCTCTCCTGTAACTATGTACGTACTCGTATGAGAGATGCTTTCCTGCACTTTCAGTTCAGGTAAATGTTCTTACTTCTACAAGGCGAACGAAGACACTGTTGGGTGTAATTATGGTTATGTAAAGTATAAAGCTGTGAAACAGAGAGTTTCAAGGAGGTATGCCTAGGCCCAAATGAGGGCTGTAGCGCCAATGAAAAAAAAATTATAAGGCTGGAGATGTAGGGCACTCGGTAGCACAGTTGGTTGACGTATTATACTACAAAGCGGAAGGGCGCGGGTTCGAATCCAAATGAGGTCATTGCATTTTTTCCAGATTACCTAATCCTTCCAGCCGCACTATGGCCCTGATGTCGACTCAGCCTCTAACAGAAATGAGTACCAAGGATCTACCTAGGGTGTAAAGGGCGGCCGGCTCGTAAGGCTGATAACGTTACCGCCATCTGTGAGCCGATTTTGTAGAGAAAATGTGGGAACCTCAACATCTCACAACCCTATGGTCCTCCACGGCCTGTTATACAGGGATAGCTTAGCTCAGTAGGACTGGAGATGAGAGCCGGGCTAGCTCAGTCGGTATAGCGACGGCCTATGATCTGGACGGCTTGGGGTTCGATTCCCGGAGATTTTTCTCTACCCTACAGTGCCATATCGCATCTGGGGCCCACCCTACTTCCCGGTCAGTGGGTTCCGTGGATAAAGCAGCCAACGCTTGTAACCGTCCAAACCTTTTAATATTCTTTAATGGACACTGTGNAGTGTGCGGTTATACGCTGACCTCCGTTTATTGCCGAGGTTGAGAATGGTGAAGTCATACCTCCACCCCCCCCCCAAGTATTCACGACTAGGTACTTAATTAAGCACAGGGACAGCTTTTCCTTTACCTTTACAGCACTGGGTGCATTTCAAGGAAGTTTTTGAGGACACATGTACAATAATAATTGTCATATTCTGTACTTCAAATAATTTAAGCTACTTTGGAAAATGCTCTTTACAGAATTAATATGATTTGTTACCGATTCGTCAGTTGTTTCCTTCTCTGTTTTCAATGCCATTCATATTTGAGGAGCATTCTGTTCCCAGTGAATCATTTACGAGTATCTCTGCTTCTTCATAACGTTTTATTGTGTAGCTATGTGACTTTCACTTTAATAGTACCTAAAGCAGAGTTTATAAAACAGCGGTACAGGTACCCATTGGGGCACGAAAGCAAGCGTTAGGGTAACCAAATCCTCATTCGTACTTTTCATCATTCCCATTGAAAATACTTCTCTCTGGGCGTTATTTTTATTCTAAAGCTACCAAAAATAAGTTCGTACATGACAGGCATATATAGGTGGCCATTATTCGTGTACACTTTAAAATTAATATCAGCGTTTTCGATGTTATTTTTGCATGGAATACAGATTTTTTTTTCAGGGATGATGATCACAAAGATTTGAGTTGCATTGATTTAAATAAATGATGATGAAATGAAAACATTTTCTCCTATAGATTAATTAGAGAATTTCAGTTTCTCGAATATCGAGTACGACTTGGTTGAAACTCTACTTTCTATTTGGGACCTCTCGGGTTAAAATCTCGGCCCGTATTTCAACTAATCTGAGTAAGGTCTTTCGTATTTTCCCCTCTGTCCCTTTGAGTAGGCCTAAGTGCCGCTGTGGTAACCCTAATTATAACTAAATTACTTCGGCATTTTCTTCAGTTCATTACTTACTTACCAGCTTTCCTTTCGACATTAAGTTCTCAGCTACTGACAGCGTCATTATATTGTGACATGACCCCTGAAAGTCGGAATAACGGAGCCAGAGTAGACGTTCATTACTAGACAACAACTCAGTAAACAGTCTCCCACGCCAATGAATACGTAATCAACAATGGAATTAGTGTTGGGCTCTGACGATGGTAACGGCGTTTTCTGCTGGATATGCTCCGTGGCTATATAACGTGGATCCAAGGCCGGCTGAAAAAGAATTAATGGAGTCTCTGGAGACGGCAGTCGAAGATAAGTGAGAAGAGATGTCAGCGAGATCAGTTGATATTTGAAAGTTTGCGCGTGATTTGAAGGCTTTATGTGTATTATAGTTAACAGTGGGACTTATAAATCCGTTGCCAGGATACGGCTCGTGAAGACTGAGAACCATAGCCTGTGTAACGGTGAACTGTAAAGTGTGTAGATCAGCGATAGCGCTCTAATTGCCTCTCCTTCCGAGTGGTGTGTATAAGTTGTTAACAGATCCAATCATCCGGTCCAAAACCCGTCTGTAGTCACAAAACATCCACGTACACGTGGCAATATAAATCATAAATAAATAGGTAAAGTTTACCTGTGGATCTGTAAATGGATCGCTGTCTCCACAAAATATCGCCACGGGAGAACTGATCCTGTTGACAATATAGTCCGATGGCTCTGACTGGTTGTAGTGGACCATATTGTATTCTGGTCCATAGTCGTACTTCGAAAACTTTCCTGAAACGAACGTTACGAATTACTTATGGGTGAGAAGTTAGAAATAAAAGGTGAGGCTCGGTTAAAATGAGCCCAAGATGTTTACTGCAAACATATGTTCTCAAAACAAAATAACCCCCACTGTTAATGGTTCAAGATAACCAAATTCAATATTTGATATCAATAGACTACATATACAGCGGGTTTTATGTTTGATGATGAAAATTTTATAAAAATTCTCTAGCCTGAATGCTCTTGGTAAAAGTTCTGGAACTTCTCCATTTATAATAAGATCAAGAAGAAACTCCATTGCGATCGTCTTTCAGTTTCATAGCTGAACCGTTCAGGCGGGAGAGCGCAAAGCTCCTTTCGTCTAGTCGTGCCGCTGAGATACAGACTGTTAGTAAAGCCGACAAGCCTGTGATGTAACAAGTAACAAATGAAACTTAACTGGATTACGACAGATGCTATAAATGCCCTCTGCTGTTGCCCCAGTGCATTCCTGGTAACTCCATAAACTTTTTAACACTCACGCGTTTCAGAAATACACGTAGAGCGAACTTGAAACTTGTAATCTGGTTCTCGTCTGCATATTTCATTGCCTGTTACAAGGATAGCTTTACCTTTTTTATCCCTGTAACAGACCGTAGAGGCCCATAGGCATGTGAGACGTCGAGGCTCCCTGGCGGTGAGATTGTCATCCTTAAGCGCCGGCCGCCCTTTACCCTCCAGAAAGATTCCTGGTACTCATTTCTGTTAGAGGCTGAGCCGACACCAGGGGTGTAATGCGGCTGGAAGGATTAGGTCAATTGAAAACTCTAGTGACCTCATCGGGATTCTAACCCGAGATCTGCTGGATTATAGCATAGTGCCTCAATTATTAGATTAGTAAATATATAGACTTACATATGATCTTGTATATACTATTTATAATTTACCCTATTGAGTATTTACGCCTGTTACTACTGATTAAAAAGTAGAGGCTTAGATTTTTCTAAATAAAGGTTCAAATTAATTGTAGCAAAGTTATACGCAGAATATATGTAACACAGAGAGATGAAGTAACGCGGAAAGAATTTTTGTAAGTGGCTTACAAAGCTTTTGAAATGTTCCAGCCTCTGTAGTGGTTTTATTTGTCACTTGAAATTTCCCTAGCATCATCCATTACATCTCATACACTGGATGGTTCTAGTGATCATGACGTCGGCCACTCGTCATTCACCCTGCCGGAAGTGGCATTCAAACCGCACTTCCATCCAAGCAGTTACAATGGAAACATGCTGTAGGCCTATTCCACATAATTAACAGTAGCCATAGCTCAAACGGTTAGTCGCTGGCTTCCCACCGCGGCGGCACCGGTTCGATCCTGATTCTGGTGAAGTGGGATTTGTGGTGGACAAAGTGGCTCTGGGGCGGGGTTTCTCCGAGTACTTCGGTTTCCCCTGCCAATCTTCATTCCACTAAATTCTCCATCATCGTAAACACCCGGGGCAGGCTACAATAGGCCAATCAGTGGCCGATGTGCCGAGTGGACCCAGCTGGACTCCACCCCCCCCCACTAAGCGAATTTAAAACAAATTAAAATTAATTAATCCCACATAATTAACAGTAGCCTGTTATATTCACCAGGAATGTTCATGTTCCTTTAAATCAGTGTTCGTTAATTCAGGTTCGATTCTCACGAGGGCACCGCACCCAGATTGGCTTTGAGTGTCATCCAGTCTCCCGTCCACTGGACACCCGGGTCTATTTCCCGGAGTTAATGTGGGCAGAGGGTGAAGAACAACATGTACATCCGTATAGCGCCGAAAATGAGAATGTATGGGGCTTCAGCTCCATTCCTCAGCACGTTTTGTAGAATGGTGCTTAGAGACAGGTGATATTGTACTAAGCTTCGTTTCTAGAGAAGTCAGAAGGAATTGTAATCATAAAATAAATATAAAAAAATTCGTATTCCCCAGATTTAAAAATACCAACCCAGTAACCGAACCCCAATCATATAACCCAAACAAAATTCGGACATCAAAACCGGAACAATAATGGGACACTTTAATCCATTTCAGTAAAGAATCTCACACTCGTATAATCTGTCGAGTACTCAAAAATACAAAATGATAAAGAGCTTTCAAGACTATCCGTGGCCTGTAGTCTGCAAGCGAACTATACCTACCGAGCGACCGCCGCTTGTCGGAGAATTTAGTGCCAACTTCTGCGTGTAGAGGTGTCACGTGATCAGCGCAACGGATCCCCACATCAGTGTTTTAAAAACTAATTGAAAATATAAAACCGCAATACGTTATACGAAATTTCGTTCCAAGAGGCAAACAGGGAAGAACCTTGTCGTCAGATATAATGAACGTATTCGAATAAACTCATAATTTTCCGAACTTGCAATAGAAATAGGACAGTTATGGCTGTGCTCACCGAGGTTAAGCCAGCGTCAGAATTTTGCTGCTACATACCTGTGTTCATTCCTTGGAGAAAGTGCGACAGTGTTCTGGTGGACGTCTGCGTCGGGTAGTGCCCAAACAGTACCGGCAGGAGAGTCTGCAAATGAGAGATCAAGCTCACGTGAGTGCATTCAGTGCCGCTTCGTGCTGTTCTCCCAGCCACGCGTATAAATGAGCACGAGATCCGTGATGTCCTGCCCTGCGTGTCCATCAGCGATGAACTTTTCGTTGCACAAAACCTTTAAAATATTTCATTTGCATTTTTTATCTTTATAATTAAGAGTAGATTCAACTCGGGTACCATGCAGTTCAGAACCTTTTATCTTACCGTCTACTGTACATACACTTAAATACTGAAGTATAGAGAACTATATTTTTCCTGTAGTTTTGTATGAGTGTGAAATTTAGTTTCTGACATTTAGAGAAGACCATGAGTACTTGAGGACAGGGCGCTGAGGAGAACATGTAAAGCGATGGGAGTTGAAATAATAAGAGGTCGGAGAAAACTGCGTAACGAGGAGCTCCATACCTTTGCACTCTACTCCAAATATAATTAGAATCATCAAGACAAGGATGACGAGATGGGCGGGACATGTAGTACGCGTATAAGGTTTTGGTGGGAAAGCCAGAAAGGACGAGACCTCTAGGAAGACCTAAACGTAAGTGTAAGGATACTATTAAGATTGGTCTTAGAGATATATGTTGGGGCGGTATGGACTAGATTAATCTGGATCAGGATAGGAACCAGTAGAGGGGCTCTTGTGAATACGGACGGCATTGAACTTTCAGGTCCCATAAAAATATTATATACCATATTTACGCATGTATAGGCCGCAGCACAATTTTCGACAGAAATTATAGAAAAAATAATTTTCTTGGAATATTATTTCAGGAGTATTACACTCTGTATTACTAATTATGAATATAATTTTTTTTAAATGAAGTGTGATTTCGAATATTTCGAATATAAGCCGCACCCCAGTTTTCCTCTTGAATTTTTGGCAAAAAATGTGCGGCCTATACATGCGTAAATACGGTAGTTCTTAAGTAACTGAGCGACTAGCGACTAGCGACTTCTCCACTTCTCCCATGGAGTTAATTTGTTAATTGGTTATCTGATTCCAAACTACAAGATTTTACATGGAACAGTATATACTCATAGTCTCCCAGCTAATCAGTATATTCCCCGCCCTTTATGAAATCTGTTATTTCGTTGATGTCCACAAGATGGATCTGTCATGATGCAATTCAGTACTGTTCATATTTTCACAACCTATCTCTCCTTTTTTTTTTCTTTCTTTCTTTCTTTCTTTCTTTCTTTCTTTCTTTCTTTCTTTCTTTCTTTCAGTGACTGTTCAAGCCCATTCAGGGCCCAGGCCCCTTATTCAGTTCCATAATTATTCTTCACAGACCGTAGGACACCTTGGCCGAGTGATCAGCTCGTCGCAAGGCCTCTACCTAAACACCGAAAAACACAGAATAAACGCATACACACACAAAACATCCATGCCTTGAGTGAGATTCGAACCCACAAGCCCAGCGTCCGAGCGAGCGAAAACAGTTCATGCCTTAGTCCGCGCGGCTACGGTGACGGCACTCCATACCCATTACTGTACTCCCTTCTACACCTAGGTCTGCCTTTAGATATTTCAACTAACATTATGTGTGTCCTCAGTGTCCCAGCTACCTCACCTTAATAATGTTGTATTTTAGCGCCCTGTTGCACTGATTCATATCCATGTGTACGTATTGACCGTCTTCTAGTGCACACAATCTCACTTGTCACTTCACTACATGTTTCGGCATCACTGTGTCATCCTCAGGTGTGTTATTTACGTTAAACTAATGCACTGCTCGCCATCATATGTTGTTTGTAAATTGATTTAATATACATATGAATATACATTTTAGATCAATTTCCAAAGGACACATGATGGCGAGCAGTGCAATAGTTTAATGTAAATAACACCTGAGGATGGCACAGGGATGCCGAAACATGTAGTGAAGTGACAAGTGAGATTGTGTGCACTACAAGACGATCAGTACATACACATCACGGACGTACCTCACCTTAATTCATTCAGTCACCCAAATAATGCTAGGTTAAGAGTGCAAATTATATAGCTCATTATATATCCATTCTCTTGTTAGTGTTTCCTCAGCCAGAACTGTTGTTGTAGCTGGATATCTAAAGATGGAGATGCTTCATCTTGGGTTTGGTTGTTCATTCTTTTATTTGTTCCCGTCCTCTTTTCCAGTAAAACTGGGACAAGGAAACAAGAATAAAAAATAAACGACAAAGTCCAAAATAAAGTAAATGCAATTTCTGCCAGCTTCACCCGCTGTGATTCCCTCACGCTATACTCCGTACAACACAGCCTTTGCAGCGACGTTTCAGAGTCGGGACTGGAACAGTGTTTTAAGTTTTTCAGATGGCAGTGTCCATGCACCAGTTGCAATGTCATTGACGTAGGTCTGCACCACGAGGTACAAACAGTACTGCTCCAAAATTTATGAACAAATTATCCAGACTCCTCACCGGTATGGAAAGGTCTCCTCTGTACCGTTGCGATTACTGACTTAAGGCTCGTCCACATTACTTGTGCTCGTCGGGAGACTCGTCTGGCTTTTACTTGTGCTCGTAAATCTTCGTCCACACTACTTCAGTTGCTCGCCAGGCTTCAGCGCGTGAGGATCCGTATATTTACTCGTAGTGTGTATAGGCTGTAGTCGTATTTTAATTTATTGGCTATAGTTTTTAAATTAAAATTTAAAAATTTGCTTGTCTCGTGACTTGTCATATCGTCCACATTACTCGCAAGCATAGCGAGTCATACTAGCACGATTAATGTGGACGCGCCTTTAGATGGAATTTCCTATAACATTCCTAAATCAGAATGCTGTATCTGCCACACGTTATTATTGATCTCTGAAAGTACCCGAGAAGACGGCATGAAATATCTTCATCTGCTCAATCACTGGGATCGTGGGTTCGAACCCACTCGAGGCATGGATGTCTGTGTTTATTCTGTTTTTTTTTATTATTATTCATAGTGGGGTGAGACTGAGTTCACTTGCTACTGCGGCCACTTCTGGTCTATTGTACCAGCCCCAAATGATAGGTGAGGGTGATTGTGGAGCAATTGGTGGAATGAAGATTGACAGAGGAAACTGAAATACTCGGACAAACCCTGCCTGCGACTTTTTTTTTTTTAATCATATTTTAACCTAGCTTTGTCCGCTGTTTTGATCTTCTTGACTTATGTAAATATCTATTTAATAGTTTCAAGTTCGAGTTCATGTTCAGTCCGTTGCTAGGCTGAATCCGCATTACCTAAACCATCTTAAAGTGCAAAGAGGAAGAACAAGCTGGGCATGAGCCTGGGGTTCAAGTGAGAACACCTCAACTGCGCCGGATATCCGCTAAATGAAGTACTGAGTTAAAGCCAGACTGAGCCCAGTGGTTTCTAGAATGAGGCCAAATGCAGTTTAATTGATGTGTTCGTTCGTTAAATAAGTTTTCTTGTCTGGGACGTCCACCGCTTACCTACTACTCTGTCCAAAAAGTATCCGACCTTGGGCAGGGAAAACAAAGTTCTGTATGTGGGTGGTTACAATACCTAATCGCCTTCGAAGTAGGCCCCTTGTGACTCCACACACTTAGCCCAGCGGTCCTTCCATGGCTGGAAGCAATTCTGGAAGTCTTCTTTTGGAATGGCGTGCAGCTGCGCCGTCGCGTTCTGTATGATGTCCTCGCGGCCGTCAAAACGGCAGCCTTTAGCGGTGTCTTCAATCTCGGGAACAGCCAGAAATCACAAGGAGCCATGTCAGGAGAGTAGGGAGCCTGGCGAACCTGCGGAATGCCGTGCTTGGCCAGGAAACCCTGTATCAGGTGTGATGAATAAGCTGGGGCGTTGTCATGATGCAGCTGCCAGTTGCGTGCGTCCCACAGCTCCGGTCTCTTGCGCCGAACTGCATAACGAAGATTGCGGGAGACTTCCTGATAGTAATCCTTATTGACAGTTTGGCATAGTGGTGCGTACTCATGATGCACAACACCCCAGTAATCGAAAAAAACAACAGTCAGCATCACCTTCACATGACTCCGAACCTGTCGTGCTTTTTTGGGCCTCAGGGCTGTTGGATGCTTCCATTGTGACTCCTGGACCTAAGTTTCCGGGTCATATCCGTACATCCACGACTCGTTACCAGTGATCACAGTCTTCGGGAACTCAGGATCCCTGTTGGCGCACTCCAGCATGTCCTGCGCGACCTCAAGGCGGAGTTGTTGCTGCTCCAGCGGAAGCAGCTTGGGCACAAATTTTGCCGCCATCCTTCGCATGCCCGAATCCTCAGTTAAAACTGTGTTTGCGGAACCTCTGCTGACCCCAACCGAAACATGAACCTCCCGCATGGTCAAACGACGGCCCTCCATGATCAGTGTCCGCACTTTTTCAAAGACATCAGCATTTCGGCAGCGGTGTAAATAAATCTGTGTTCTCAGAAAATGTTAGAACAGTATCACTGGTTAGTGTGTCATGCCAATGCTATGTAAAATGTAAAGTTGTCCATGTTCTTAACTAATTAAGCACTGCGTCATGAAGACGTATGGGGGAGTGGATGTATAGATCCACATTTTCTTGACCTCGGCACTAATTGGAGATGAATGATCAGCTTCACGACCCGGCCACTTTATCCCCGGGGAAAGAGTCCCCGGTACACATTGGATAGCAGGCTGGATGGGCCCCAGAGCCGCTCTTGATGACGTGGAATGACGAAAATTCTTGACCCTACCGGAACTCGAACTCCGACCTCATGGTCGTCCAGCCCGTAGCTAGTCGCTATACCGACAACGCCATCCCGGCTCACAACAAAGCTGTGTACGGATGCATTAAGTACATTCTATATGAAAATTTGCAATTAATTAAAGATTTTGTGTATGTTCTATTACTTAATTCACAAAGTTAACAGAACTGAGTTATGCTGCGTTGCAAGTTTCCCTGCATAACATTTACGGAATTCTGGTGTCACCGTATTCCCAAAACATTAGATTACTCACATTAATCACATTTAAATTAGTCGAAGCGTCATCGCAAATTAATTGCAGGATGTATTACACCTATGCGTAGGTGACTGAATTAAGTGGAATGCATAAATATGTTCAAATCGTAATGAATACGTAATCTCTCTACACGTAATTAGTAGTGCGTGGAAGCTTCCTTTCACCATTTTTAGTGATCACTCGGATTATTAACTGGGGCCTAATAGTCTATAAAACATTTTCAGCGTAATTATTTCCATGCGTCATAGTCCTTCCTGAGATGCTAATTGTCGATCATTCACTCATTCATCAATGGCTCTACAGATTTTTGTTGGGCCCTGGCCTCTTCTTCAGTTTCGTAATTTGTTATACACAGACGGTGACAGTCAGCCCATCGTAAGGCCGCTACCTACACACAGGACAACACAAACACAGAATCAACGCATTCACAGACATCCATGCCTTGAGTGAGATTCGAACCCATGATCCCAGCTTTCGAACGAGCGTAGACAGTTCATGCCTTAGACCCCGCGGCCACTGTGATAATTTATCTCTCAGCTAACAATTTCCTGCATTCTACGGGATGCAGGGATCCATTACAGTATTCACAAAAGTCCTCCATCAGGCCTTCTTCGGAACTCTTATGAATTCAGCCCACATCGGTGTTCTGTATTTATTTGAGACATATTTTCATATCGCCCTGCAATGTACGCCTATGTATTCCAAGCGCTCTCTTCCCTTTAGGTCATTCATCGGGAATTGTGTACAGAAAATAAGACAAATTTCAGACTCCCTTTTAACTTATAATGCAGCAGATACAGCGCAGGCTTCCTTCGAGACTACCCATCTATCATATGTGTACACAATAGGGTTTGGGGCATTGTTCGTGGAACTTACGTGATTCAGCTCCTTGGAGTACCCAGCGACCACATGAAGGATGTTCGCGCAGAGCCCTCTGCCTATGTATTGCTCCTCACACATTGGCTCCAGGCGCCGTTGTATCAGCTCTGGGTGTGGTGGAAACCCGTGCAGTCCAGAGTAACTGGTGACTCTCTGAACACATCAACACTAATAATGTAATTTCTGTAACTGTAATTTTTCGAATGTTCAGAGCCTCTAATACAAAAGCCATTTCCGTCAACATTCAGTCCTCACAAAAATGTATTGCGAGATAAATATTGGTGTTGCTTTCTAATATTCTCTTTCGCGTTCCAAGTGTTTGCTTGCCGACAGAATTGGCACGAAAATTTTGTATTACTTTTAACTTCTAGGACCAAGGTCATTTTACAGCCGTCACAATAATACATACGACCATTGTGTAGTACTCTAAATGCGTTTTTAATCCATCTTACGACAGTCCGTTTTCAGATATGTATAACTTGTATAAATATTTGTTTCTGGGATAGTTCAGTCGGTATAGCGATGGCCTAGAGACTGGACGGCAGACGATCGATTCCCAGCAGGGGCAACAAATTGTTCTCTGCTTCACGACGTTTAGACCGGCTCTGAGACCCATCTGTTCAATAGTTCCGGATGATAAACGGCCACAGCGTGAAGCAGATCACTCATATCAAGTGCTGAATCAAGAGTGATGGAACCATACTTCCATTTCTTCTTACAGTTTCATGGCGTGATGCTTAATTGCTTAATTAATAAAGCACAAGGACAAATTTACCTTGATAACTGTACAAAGCATGTTTAAGAAAGTTGGAAGGGCACTAACAGTTTCTGAAGGGAGTATTCTTAACCCTGTCATTGGACACTACACAATCTGAGATATTGACAGTGCTGTGAGATAAACAACAAAACCAACAGACCACAATTATATCGTCTGCCTTGTTCTCAGCCACTTCAATTTCGAAGAAAATATTCAGTGATTTATTATATAGCCTTTCAATGTATATAAATATATTTTTTCTCGTGTCATATTCATTAGTGTGGATTGTTTTATTATATATCCCGCTTTTCTAACGTGTATATTTAGTTCCTAATAGATTTTATCCAGCGAACGGCCGGTCGCTATCCCCCCTCCACACGCACACACAAATGATAACGGAAATTGAGACGCTTGTTTTATTTACCTTCAAGCAATTTACAATTCCAGGTCTCGCTTCCTGAATTTATAAGCATATATACAGAATTCTCAGCGTATGGCGCTGCTGTGCCACCGTCAGCTCAGTAGCCGCTATCGAAGCACGTTCGCAGCTTCGTAAATTGAACATCCTGTATTTTCTGGTAAATTCCATAGTCTTATTTGTGGTTAAAAGAACAACGTTTCGGAAGTTGTCTCTGCTTCCGCCCTTAGGTAAATCTTAAAATCTAATTTGTTGTGTCCGTTATACCGAGATAATCTTTATTCCCGGACAGTAGTAGTTCTGAGTATATCTCTTATATCTATAAAGAACTGTGTATCTTTGTTTGGTTTTTGTACATATCCACATCGTTGCATCTATTTCGACCAAATTTGGCATGATATTAGGGAATCTTACTGGGGAGTTTTTTTTTAGAAATTTTAAGACGTGCATTGTGTCAAGTCTAAGCCATCCTCTCTCTGTAAGAAAGCTCTGAGATCATGACAATAATGGGATCATGTTAGCAGTGATATTGTTGTTGGGGTAAATGTTAAACTCCTAACTATCTTGTGCTGTTGTTAGAATACGGCCGAAGCCTGACACTATCATTTGCCATTACTAGGATATAAGGGAAACACCAAACTACTCGTATCTTGTGCTGTCATGCTCACACTATCTTCTGCCGTTGCCAGAATACGGCGGAAACCCCAGAGCATCTTCTGCCGTTACTAGATTTGGTCTAGAAATGTGGTGCTTGTACGTGTGCATTATGCTCATATGAATGGTGAATGTCGGAGATTATCTGTTGGAGATAAGAAGCGAAACTGAGTCCTATCAAAAAGCACGAGAGACCACTGTAGATTGCGGTGCAAGGGCCAAGAAGGCGCACGCCTTATACATACAAATGTAAACTTAATTGTGTGTGTAAATATATGCTACTATGTTCGGATTCAATTTCGATACATTTTATAGCTTCAGTTTTAGTTTTACTTGAAAGTAGTACACGTATCTGTATATATTTTCATGTAGGGTGTCACTCAGAGAATATGAATGGATGGTTTTGAATTATATTCGAATTGTTAATGACGCACTTCCTGACGATGATCTTGTACACCAGATACGAAGGAGAGTCTGTAAATAGGTTACATATGGATATAAAACGTGTGATATTCGAACCATGAAAAACACATTTATTTCTCGACATATTCTCCACCAGCACTGATGAACTCGTTCAGTCGTGTTACCAGTGCGTCCAAACCCACAGTATATAAATCTTTTGTCTCCGCCACTTCCGCAGTCCCCTTTCAACCTCTTCGTCATCAGCGAAACGTTTGCCACGTTTCTCGACCCGCTTGTGATCCGCTTTACGCGACAGACACTTCCCACTGTAAACAAGAAACGTTTCTTTATGAATATTCTTTGCATTGAGCCCTTTTGCCCAAAGAAAGGCCGAACAGAAAGCTGCTTTTCGTTAGTATACTCCTCAAGCACGGTCGCCGTTATGACTACTGAAACCAGCCTCTGAATATGCGCATGCCCGTCTGCTGCCTAGACTGGCATGAAGCTGGACTGTGCTGCTACCTAGTGATAAATATACAAAACCTATTACGTCCATTACAGCTGCTTTACTTCCATTTGTGCCCTATTTACTGACTCTCACTCGTATTTGGTGTAGGGTTTGAGGAAAAAGAAGAAATATTTACTAAGAGCAGTCAGTGTTACAACCGCGACTACCTGCCGAACACAAAGCAGAAGAGTTAACCACTACCCGGCCACATTTGATGCAGATAATAACACAATTGTACATGTAAACATTTGAACAGCTCTTCACGAGCTAGTTTGGTGTGCCAACACGTTTTCTATTCACTTCAGTCATGTAGGCTTCTCGTGGGGCCTGACTCTCCCTTTCAGGGTCAATTGTGACAGCATTCTTGAAAGGGGACGCACCCAGTTGAACTCTGACCTCTGGCTTTATGGTTGGAGCTGTGTGCGTGAGTTAAAGACTAATTGTTAGTGATAGATGGGTTGATAGAAGTTACAGAACATTGTAACGTGTCTATCACACATGGTCATCATCATCATCATCATCATCATCATCGACCCTTATTGAAGAATTAGATGCAATTCAACAACTGAGTCTGGTATCATTGTACGCCTGAAACATGTTGTGTCAATAAAAACATATGTTGATACGATAGTGTCTACTTTGTTTTAAATACAGAATATTGTTGTGTAGACTGCAGACTTTTGTAAACATTTTGTGTAACCTATTTATGACACACAACAGGATGCATACTGTATTAAGATTAAAATCTGGTCATTTTAAAATTATTCTCCATTTAGTTTATCAATGTTTCAACTAGTGGAATGCATATCTGCTCGAGCACATTTATTTTTCATACCATCTGCCCTCTGTTCATCATACACGAAAAGATTTTAGAGTCTTAAGACCCTAAATGCAGTCCTACAAAGAACCAAATGAATAGACAGGCGAGTATTCAAAGCATCATCAAAATTACTTGGAGCCATATAAATATCTAAATAAGTTTTTTTTTTTCATGTAATCAATCCTTTCATCTTTTGAAAGTATGATAGCCAAATCTGTATACTGAAAAAGATCTAATCTACGTAACATCGGTTTAATCCACCTTCCTCCATTTTCTTGAAAGTAATTCGACCTTTTAAATATTAAAGAGCGAGCCATATTAAATTATAGGCCTCTGTGGAGTTACCGGATCGTTACAGCGATATGTTGGCTACCAAGATGCAATATACGTGGTAGAGTCATTAAGTTCGTGGAATGTGGTTTCATCGCATCATATTACAAGGTATTCACATACACTTACACAGATCCACATTGGTCCTCAGAATAGTTGCCGTTGGCCGCTATGCAAGTCTGCCAACGTTGATATAACTGTAGAAAACATTGCTGAAAACTATTGGCAGGAAATTCCCTTACGACGCTTTGCGGCCATTCCACGAACTTATTGACTAGTGGTATTATGTGTACGTCATATCTCCAAGTGCTCCACCTTGAAATAATCGAAATACCATAAAAAATTCTTGACCAGTGACTGAAATGAAACGTCTCAAGTTCCGAAGTTATATAAAAATAGTCTTTTTAAAATTTTAACGAAATTACCGGCGAAAATTGAAAGGGATGGAATTTTAAAATCATTGGGAGTGCATCAAAATGTTAAGGGCTGACAGAGTATTGGTAAGTATTCATACCATTTCCACCGAAAAGAATGTCATATATTTGTAGGCCAAAATTAAGTATCGGGCATACATTAATATTTTCTGGATTAAAGCTATTTTTAAAAATAAAAAAATAAGGAACTGATAGTTTTAAATACATACGTGTATATAAGCATGTACTCTTATATATATTCAGCGAAACATTTCTAATTTGGCAAACTTTGGTACCACTTAAATTCGGCCAAAGTAAACAGTTGGCCATCTTACAGGAAATTCCTCTTTTTATGTCTGTAATGATAACCACTGCCTTGTTTTTCTGTTTGAAGTTCTTTATTTTGCTTTTGACCTCGTGACTAGTGAATAGACCACGCACTTGATATAAAATGAGTGGATCTGAAGAGAAGGCGAGTGACATATTGCCACGTATTTAGGGGCGTGACTATAGACGGGGTATGGATTGGTGAGTGGTTTATTGACCACTTGTGTAAACCACTCGGAACTACAAACAGTTATACCGCTCTCGCTAATCTCCACACTTTACAAATCACCACAGCACCTGCTAAACCCTTTTCCATCCTGCTTTTCTTCGAAACCTGTTCCTTAGCAACGGATTCTAACAGTGAGATTATTCACCTTCCCAAGCTCATGTTGTTACTGCCCGGCGAATATCCCGCGACTGAACTGTAGTGCCAGTTGTCTTCAAGATAACTCCTCGGCACGGACCACACTGAAATCACAGCCTCTTTTTTGTTGTAGATGCGTGATTTGCGCCGTTACATAGCAAAGGTCGCTGCGCAGATCACATAGAAAACTCCTTTCTTCTATTGTTACATGCATGTTGCGGGCGTTACCTACCAGTGGCCACTGTTTACCGAGTCACTGCTTAGCAACGGGCCTGTACTTATGAATTTTAATTACCATTCAGATATAAAAATACAGAAGTCTATGGTAAATTGAATAGCAAAATAATCGATTGTTTAATGGCCTGTTACTGTCGATAAATCGATCGCCAAAAATGGCAGAAGGGGTGCTTAGTAGCTACATGCAAGGGACAAGGGATAGATGGGACAGAAACCAGTTATTTTTGTATGTGGTCAACATGGGAAGACTGAAATATATACAGAACCATATCATGAAATGTAATAAGGTGGACAACATACAATACAGGGAGGTGGCCAAATTATAAATGGTTGGTCATGTGTACATTGATACAATTTATTTCCGGGTTTGTAAAAATTCCGCTGATTTTGGCACGCATCCAGCCCAACTTGCAAAGTTGACGAACCGCGCAGGTTTCATTGCACCGTATAGTTTTCTTTTTAATTCGCTCAGTTGGAGGTGGAGTCCGACTGGGCCCACTCGTCACGGAGGCCACTGGTTGGCCTATTGTAGCCTGCCCCGGGTGATTATGATGATGGAGAATTTGGTGGAATGAAGATTGGCAGGGGAAACCAAAGTACTCGGAAAAAACCTACCCCAGCGCCACTTTGTCCACCACACATCCCACTTGACCAGACCCGGGTTTGAACCCGGGCCGCCGCGATGGGAAACCAGCGACTAACCGCTTGAGCTATGACGCGGCCATAGTACAGCATGCTGGTGGTCAGAACTGGATCGGCTTCTCACTTAATCCCTTTCAAGGAACGTGTATGGTAATACATGCAAGTCTTTAATTTTATTTCTGCTCATTATTTTATCGGATTGATATTTGTGGGTAACCTAAGACACCCTCTAACGGCAAGGGAAATATGCAGTTTCAAGCAATTCTCGGAAGTGATGTTATCCAAGATAATTTATGCAAGCGAGCTATGGGAATGTCATTGAGGAGGAAAAATCAGAGACAAAAACACGGCTTTGCTACCGCAGTCTGTACCAAAAGTGCCTTGAAAATTTACGATATAGGTCTATGTCCTTATTTAGGAGGCATGGTTCGTGTTATTTAGGAATCTACGTTTCAAAGGCAAATCCAACAGATAATTCTAGAGACAAATTAGTTTGCGAGAAGATTTAGGGATACTGCCGTCGAGAAACATAGCGAAAAGTGAGAGAGGAAGAGAGAGAGATAGGAGGCAGTGGAATTATGTCGTGTTTATTACGTCTTAGAGAAAAATTAACAAGAGATATGTTTAATTTCATGTGAGGAAATGTGTGGTTATGGATGGAGCTTCTGTTGAATTTAAAATCATTTTAAGTGCGTCCATTTGAACTACGGAACAATGGGACCAATTGATGGTATGATCGGATATCCTGGCTAAGGGTTTTCATTGTTTTCCTCAGTCCAGTTAGAGAGATGCTGCTGATGCTACCTCGATTTGGTTCCCTTCATATTCATTTCAGTTCCTGAGTCATCCTGCCGCTTCACGCTGTATAGCCTAGATATTGACATCACCGTAAAATTAGCCACGAAAAGCAACAAAAAGTAACTGACTAAAAGTGGCTCAGATGAATGTGCACAGGGAGAATTCGATAGTCGCCAGAAAGGAGATGGGAAATGCTGTGTCAGGCTGGTGGGGCCTGTATGAAAATGGTCCAGAACGAGTCATTGCTGCAGGGGACCCTGTCTTGTTTAGGTGGGCCGTCACGCTGCACTCGGCTCACGTTATGCACCAGTGAACAGGTTTCATCGTACTGGTAACTTTGATCTGAGGCTTTGTTCCAAAGCTGATTACATCTGGATATTTGAACATCCAGAAGTTAGACTATAGATACTCTAGAACAAGCAGCTACGTGTTAAGTTCCAGTATAATCAACAATGAAACCGAGAGTTCCCGTGATATATAGACATTATACTTCAACAATCAAATAACTACCAAACAATATGTAGGTACCACCCAGCTGTTTCCATTATAACATTGTTTTCAGTGTTGTTAATTGTTGTATTGTATTGATTTGAGTTTCTCACGAAGGTTACTGTGGGGGGGGGGTACGAATATCTGGGTATTACTATCGTGCAGTTCAGTAGAGGTCCACCTTTACTTTTCGACCCTGAGGACAGAGGCTTTACGTTCCTTCGAAACCTCGATGGACTTTCCGAGCTACATGACGTTATAACCTAGAAAATCGTATTCTTCTTACGTGTTATCAGCTCATGCCTGTGAAGAGTAGGGCTGCTGTCTTCCGAGATGTGATTCCGTGTAGTCTTGTCTATGTTTACCGATTATTTGGAGGAGCGTACTGCCTCCATCTTCAGGATCATTGAGTAAGCTTGCTGTATGATGCTTGCTTGGCTTACTACTCCATGTATTTTGGTAGTTTACTGACGTTTCGACGGAACGAATTACTTTCATATTCAGGGTCGAAGTGTAAACTTGCTTGTTAACTTTTTTTTTTACCTTGAAGATTCAGAAAATTATCTTCCTCCAAAACGTAGATAAACTCTTACCAGCCTTCACGGCGTCACACCCCAAATGCAGCACTATCCATAATCACCTTTATGAGAACGTCACATCCAACATAGTGTACAAATGTTCAGCGTTTTTCCATGCTTCACTTCATGCAAAATGCACATCGCATAAGAGACATAGGCTTATAGACGAAATGTATCTATTCTCTATTTGAATTCAAGAAAAGCACTGACATTTTCGCTTCAGAAAAAATGAAGGTGGTGTGTTGCTTTCTGTTATGCCGAATGTAGTAATGGATGACAGAACTGTACTTTCATGTATACCGAATGTCGCTATTGAGTTTTTACCACTCTGTGTTTACAGTCCTCAGCTCACACGTTTTCCGCCATTCCGCTGTGTAGGCACAGTATGCAGGTGATCACGGTGGCCGCGCGGTCTTCGCTCGCTCGAACACTGAGATTGTGAGTTCGAATCCCACTCAAGGCACGGATGTCTGTCTGCGTTTATTCTGTTTGTGTTAGGGAACGGTCTATCGTCGTGCTGATCCCCCGTCCAAGGAGTCCTACAGACTCTGTATAAGATAAGAAACTGAAAAGGCGACCAAGGCCCAACAAAATGACTGTAGAGCCATAGATATGTTAGTTTGGATAGGCAGGTAAGGACTGAATGCAGGTTGAATGGCATTACCAGTTGTGGGGTCCGCGCAGCCTTGTATCCAGTAGTATCGGAAGCTCTTTTTAGGAGGTGAGCATAAACAAGGAGCGTATCTTTCGCTCCATAGTGGGATATGCTCAAGTAAATGCACGATCGACTTTACTTTTAACTTCTACTTAATCCCTCTCGACAATTGTTGCAGTAGAACCGTAAAATGTGGCCCGATCTCTTTCGAAACCTTTCAGTAAATATTTCATTCATCGCCCTGTGTCTGTAACCTTTACACATGAAAAACATCCCAAATAAAGGTAGGAGGAAATAAATTTACCAAAAATTTGCATTTTAAACACGTATGTCATTATGTAGCGCCACACAGGTCACTGGGCACAGAAATATTATCACAGCGATCCATTGTGTTTCTGTTCGGCAAACCTCATAGAAGACGAGGTTGAGGTTGTCATGGAGATGACTATGATATAGCGTAATGTAATTTGGTAGGTAGTTACCGACGTTTCGGAGGAAGACGGCAGTCTACTTGTGCGTTATTTGCACTATGCATTGGTTCATCGGTCGTGATATTAGACAGCTTTCTCTGCCGATAAATCCGAAATATTTTAAATTTAGGGAAAATATTTTATTGTGCCGACTCCCACACGAAACATTGGTCAACATTAAAGGGGGGGGGGGGGCTCCTCCGTTCTTCTCCTATCACCATTTGACTTCCGATTTCAGAATACATTGAGAGCTGCCTGCTTTCATAATCTGATGATACTCATGGGTATTAAGGTGGTCTTCTTCTCTTCCTTTTCTTCCTTCTTCGTCTCTTTCTTCTCTTCCTTTTCCTCCCTTATCTTCCTTCTCATACTCCTATTCATTATCCTCCTTCTCTTTCTAATCCTCCTCTTCATTCTCCCCTTCCTCTATATTCTCCTTCTCTTTCCCTTCCTTCTCCTTGTCTTCCTTCGTTTTCTTCTCTTCCTTCTCCTTCTCTTTCTACTCCTCCTCCTGTTAATTCTCCCCCTCCTCTACATTCTCCTTCTCTTTCCCTTCCTTCTCCTTGTCTTCCTTCATGTTCTTCTCTTCCTTCGTGTTCTTCTCTTCCTTCTCCTCCTTCTCTTTCTACTCTTCCTCCTGTTCATTCTCCTTCTCTTTCCCTTCCTTCTCCTTGTCTTCCTTCGTTTTCTTATCTTCCTTCTCCTCCTTCTCTTTCTACTCCTCCTCTTCATTCTCCCTTTCCTATATATTCTCCTTCTCTTTCCCTTCCTTCTCCTTGTCTTCCTTCATTTTCTTCTCTTCCTTCTCCTCCTTCTCTTTCTACTCCTTTCTTTCTTCCCCCCCCCCACCTACTTCATGTACGGTACGACAGATCAGTGTCGTACAAAGCGTTCGGATTTCCACGTTTCAGAATCTAGTTCATGGGACGCAGTTGGTAGGATTCCTTGGGCGGTATCGGCCCGTCGCAGGGCCACTAACTCTACAGAACAATTCACAACACATGCACTCCGCGAATAGGATTCGAACCCATGGTAACAGCATTCAAGTGGTAGAATACATTACGAGCCTGAGGCCGCGCGCCCTACTGAGGTTATAAGAAAAATGAATTTCCGCTCAAAGTGAAACATGTGCCACTCACCTGCAGCGCTTTCCACAAGGAAGCAGAATGCCGGAAGATGCTTGTGTTGTGCTCTAGCTTGACAACGGGAGCAAGCAGAAGCGTAATCTTCAGTTTACTGTTATATTCTGGTCGTTCGGAGAGCATCACAACGGCAGTAGTGGCCCCCATCGAGTGGCCCACGAAATGGAGGTCAGGGTCCCCAGTCACTCTAAGCACGTAGTCAACCATGGCAGGAAGGTCGTACATCCCAATTTCGTGCCAACTTGAAGCAGATAGGACAAACATAATGGTCAGGAACAGGCAGTGCTTGCAGTGTCACTGTGTTCACATTCTGTGCCCATTACCTGTGGTAATTCCTGTACATAATAGTTTCATTTCCACACTGTACTTGAAACAAGACGTACACCAAGAGTATTGATCCCATTGTGCCTGAGGATGGAGACGACATGTTTTCCCCAAACATTAATGACTGTACACAAATCAGTACCGTCTGACATCCCAAAGACAGAAATATGCTCACTGATGCAAATGTTATTTACGTTCTTCCGCGTTAAAATATAAATGTAAACGGTAAAGCTGTTCCTGTGCTTAAATACCATGAAGACGTAGGGGGGAATGGACGTATAGCTCCACCATTCTTGATCTCAGCACTACAAGAAGGTGAGCGGTCAGCTTCACGCTCCGATCGCTTTACCCCCCATAAAAGTGCCTGGGTGAGCCCAGAGAAATGCGGAATAGAGGAAAATTTGTACCCCTGCCTTGAATCGAACCCGAGACGTCCATACCGTAGCCCGTCGCTATACCGACTGAGCTATCCAGGTTCCCTTCTTAAAACATATCCCGCTCATAATTAACAACTGTTTTGTTGACCTGGGACTGCGTGCTTTCGTGAAGTACAGTTTTAGTGTATCACGGGTGGTATTCTTTGCGAAGAAACTTTCATTTTATCACGGGCCATAATTTATACCTGAAACTTCTTGAAGTGTTGTGAATGTTAATTAAAGTATATTTTAATATTCAGTACCTCGTATAGAGCAGCCCTTGTCGTCCATTTGAGAACAAAATTAAATAAGTTTATTGAGGACTCCCAGTATATCATATAAAATCTAAAACCGTACGTTTACAGTGATAATGTTATACGCGTGCCGACAGCAACTGACAGAGAAACATACGAAAGCAGCAACGCTTTTGGAGGAATCCCTTTCGAATCTCGGCAGGAACAGTTTTTTTTTATTGCTAGTGGGCTGGGACTAAGTCCCTTGTACTGCGGCCACTTCTGGCCTATTGTACCAGCCCCAGACGATAGGTGAGGGTGATTGTGGAGCAATTGGTGGAATGAAGATTGGCAGGGGAAACCGAAGTACTCGGAGAAAACCTGTCTCAGCGCCACTTTGTCGACCACAAATCCCACTTGACGATACCCGGGATCGAACCCGGGCCGCAGCGGTGGGAAGACAGCGACTAACCGCCTGAGCTATGGCGCGGCCATTCGGCAGTAGCAGTTACTATCCTGATTAGGAAAATTCGTGATTTTCCAGCCTTTCAAGGCAAATCCCGGAATGTTAGTTTTAAACACATCATGACCGTTTCCTCAATAATCATTTCAAGTTACTAGAAGGTCAGTATGCCCTGTGTGTCTTTGGATATGACGCCTTGCAATTTGGTAGAAACTTACTAACGTTTCGGAAGAACTTCCTGCCTCTATCTTCAGGTTCCATCTATCCTGGATGTGATGACAGCAGTTTCATCCAAAACGTTGGTAACTTTCTACCGGACCACACAGCATCACATCTTGATATTCACCTACGTGAGAACCTCAAATCTCACATACTCTCGTAATATCTGAAGTTAGGTAGCCCCCTGTAGTTGACATAGCGTCGTTAAATAACTTTTAATCCATCTCTGTTTAAGCTAATATATGTTACACGTGACTGCAAAGCGTAAATGAAACTACATTTATGAGGAACTTCGGTGTCTGTTCCTTTTTTAGTTTAATTTTGATCGTGACCTTTTTATAGAATTCCTCACTTTATTAATGAGAGCAATAAAGGTTCGGTGTTTGTTCACCGGACTGTATGACGTCAATTTCAGTCTCCATAGCAATGGATGTCAGAGCAATTCATCAGCGAGTGACGATTTTATGTGGAGGGTTGATTTCACGTAGATTAGTATTGCCATGCACCCGAATTAATCTCAGGTCACTGGAAATATTTGCACTGGAAAACATAACGAAGCTTTACCACGAGTTTCGCGTTCATTTTCATAACTTAGAAGACAGAATATGAAGCATGAACTTATAATTAATTTTATTTCGGATACAACCACGTCATTTTCCTTAGTTTCTTTTTAAAATCTCGCAACAATTTCACCAAAAATCAAAAGAACCGGAATGAAATAATTGACGGTTTATCTGAAAATGAATATATAATTTATTCGCCATGAAAATCTGAAATATTTGAACCGGAATGTCTTCAGTTTGAAGAGGACGGACAGAATTGTTACTGAATTTCTCTGGTGTTTCGACGCAAAATGACCAGCTGCTAGTGGTTAGAGCTAACATATTGTTGTATTTTTCCGAAACAGTTCCCTGGATAAAGAAATTAAATTATTGCATTCATCCACATCTTTCAATTTTGTTTAGCAACACTTCGGGGCACGCGCTAGCGTAGTTGATTGAGGCACTATGCTACAAGCCGGAAGGTCGCGGGATCGAATCCCGATGAAGTGGATTTTTTCAATTGACCTAATCCTTCCAACCACACTATGGCCCTGGGGTCGACTCAGCCTCTAACAGAAATGAGTACCAGGAATATCCCTGGGGTAATGAGCGGTCGGCATGTAAGGCTGACAACCTCACCGCCATCTGTGAGCCGATTGTCTAGAAAACGTGGGAGCCTCGACTTCTCACAACCCCATTGGCCTCTCCAGCCTGTTACAGGGCTACCTTTGCTTTTTACTTTTACTAGCATCCCTTCGGATTCGTTTCATTGTTTAACAATATAAGGGTGAGATTTAAGGTTCCCACCGTGTTGACTGTGAAGATTCTCTTGTACGATGTGAGCCAGTGTAGTTTGGTATCACGTTACGAGTGTTTCGGAGGAACATACTGACTTCATCTTCAGGGTACCTTCATAGACTGAGGGTGTTTAAGAACCTAAGGTAGAGGAAGACACTGGAGAATGATGCAAATTTCATATTGTGGCTTATTTGTTCAAAGGAAGAACTGGATCCAGAGAAACTGGCGTTGCTAGTTACTGCCTTCACGCAACAACAGAGAAATTGTCACGATACTAGATATGACGCGTACATCCGTTGCTATGGAACACGTTTCCCCAGAGAGGAATTCACGCAACAGTAGAAGACCTGTTTTTTTTTTTCTGTGCGGTCCGATTATATAGCAAAATTGTGCAGACGACAAGCAGAAGTCATACAGAATCATGATAATGAACATGTTCGCGGTATAGGACAAGGTGAAGCCAGACACAGAAAATAAAAGAGGCTTAAACTTGGCGGTGGTCAAGCTTACGACCGTTCAAATGACTAACTTTTCATTGTAGCATAAGATCTGTAAGTTAGGAATGATCTACTCTGCAAAGCCTGTACTGACAGAGGACTTGTGTGTAAAGCAAAAGTAAAAGTTTTCGATAACATTATATGTGCGAAATATACACTTGACGAAAGGTCGAGTGTATTCATAAGAGACAGACCCATCTTCTCGTCAGAGAGGATGTTACATAAGGACTGTTACCGCAAGAGTTCAGTTGGAAAGAAAAAAAAATCTCTGGTCGTGGGCCTCAAGGGGCCTGACGCCAAGACGAACCGATTGGCGGAAAACCGCCAGTCGTAAAGTAACTCTCTCTGTCTCTAAATCAGTTGAGTTTCAAGACGCCAGCCTGCCAAGATATGAGCTTTGGAGCGGAGCAGTTGTCAGAAGAAGTGAGGATGTCCCTGAGTCGTCAGTAAAATCACTGAGAAGAGATGACAAGAAAGGAATTAGGCTGTGAAAAGAAGACTTCATGTGTGTTGCAGTGACAGTGAGATTGCTATAAATTCGCTGCCAGGATCGTAGTTACGTGTTGAATGTATAGGATGCCACACGGTAGCGTAGTTGGTTGAGGCACTATGCTACAAGCCAGAAGATCGCGGGTTCAAGTCCCGATGAGGTAATTGGATTTTTTTTTTCAATTGACGTAATCCTTCCCTCCGCACTATGGCCCTGGGGTCGACTCAGCCTCTAAAGGGCCCTACACACGCTCCGGTAGACCTGTCAGGTGCGCCTGCACAGGCGCGCCTGTGCAGGTCGACCGGAGCGTGTGGATGATAAAACGTCGCAGTTATTGTGACCTGAACAGTCCGCCGGAGCATATTCGAAAAATCATTAGACGACCTGTGCAGTTTTGTACCTGAACCAGGCAAACCGGAGCGTGTGGCGAAATGGCCATCCTCATAACGGTATCTTTCTATTTTAATTAATGGGGCAACTAATGACAGGAGCTGTAAATAAGTTTCTTCATTCATGCGCAAATAATTGTGCCAATCTTTAGGGACCAACTTCAATTCACGTAACAGATTCACATGTGAATAAACGTTTCTTTTCATCAACCACTCTTTGCACCAGGTTTGACGCTACTTTTCGGTTTGAAACAATTTGTAGCTAATAATAAGCCAAATACAGCTAGAACATCGTCATCTGTAGATGCCATGTCCGACCGTAGCAAACACGCAACTGAAGTAATATCGGAAAGGTGTACCTGAGCGTGTGGGCGCACTGGGGTTTTCAGGTCGACCTGCGCAGGCGCACCTGTGCAGGCGCACCTGACAGGTCTACCGGAGCGTCTGTAGGGCCCTTAACAGAAATGAGTACCAGAAATATTCTTGGGGGTAAAGGGCGGTCTGCACGGAAGGCTGACAACCTTACCGCCATCTTTGAGCCGATTGTCTAGATAATGTGGGAATCTCAACATCTCACAACCCTATGGGTGTCCACGGCCTGTTACAGGGTTATCTTTAATTTTTAGTTACTTTATGTATAGGATGTCAAATCCAATCCAATCCAAACCCCCGTCTATAAGTCACGTACAACCCATATACATGGCAGTGTTGAGTAGCTGTGTAAATTTTACTCTACACCAGTCAAGGCAGTAGGCTGCGATTGGTGGGATATGTGGCACACATAAGGGGATGAGAAATGCTTACGTCAGTTTAGTCGAAAACTACATGAAGTGACTATCTGGGAGTGCTAATGTACATAAGAGGGTAATATGAGGGCCATGCCGTAGCTCAGGCTGTTAGTCGCCGTCCTGAACGACTCCCACCCCTGTTCGATCCCAGCAGAAGTCATGTGGGATGTGGTGGACAACGTGGCACTGGGGCAGGATGTCCGAATACTCCTTCCCCTTCCAATTCTCATTCCACCACCTTCTCCACATTCTTTTGATCATCCTATCATTCGACTCTGTACAATCTTCAATATTGGCAGCGTCGTTAAATAACCACAAATAAGATAATCGTGAATGAATAATGTATGGGGTTGTGGACTGGATTCATCTGCGTAAGAACAGGCCCAGTAGCGGGCAGTAATTAATCTTCGAATGCCATGAAGATGAGAAATCTGGAGGTAAAGGCTCCATCTACTTGCCACTTAAGAATTTCCACTTCGCCACAGATAACCAGCTTTATAGACTGCACCCTTTTGGTATATATAATATATAATTGCATACATTACGACACAATAAGTAATATGGGAATACCTTCAATAAAGAAAATATGTGTTGATATGTGTCTTACGTTTTATATTAAACACATAGGACATATACAAACTCCGTGGCCTGTAGTCCACAAGCGAACTGTTCCGACCTAGCGACGGCCTTTTGTCGGCGAAGTTAGTGCCATCTTTAGCGGATAGAGGGTGTCGCGCAACGGATCCCCATGGCCGTTAATTTCGGTTTTCTAGACCGGAGCCGCTAGTTTTCCATTCAAGTAGCTCCTCAGTTATCCTCATGAGGCTGAGTGGAGACCGTTCCAGACCCACTACTTCTTAGAACATCTGTTAGCGGTGGGAATCGAATCCGGACCTCTGGAACTCTGACCACTAGACCACAGAGACCAACGTCTATTGTCTTTATTGAAGATATTCCTATGTTACTTGTGTCGATGGTCATAATAGAAGCAATTAAACAGAAAACAAGTACGCCTCGTACAGGTATTTCTGTGCTTGCTCTTTCTTTCGTTAGCTCGTTCGTGATGAATGGGCGACTGTTCTTCTGGAACCCTGTCTTGAGGTAACGTCATTCAAGGAAGACCTGTGTAGCTACATGAGTATAACCAATGGTAAGTTTCAGCTGTCAGAAGGCAGATGAGGTCACCGGTTTTCCCAGACCCTTACACGATGTTCTACCTGCTTCATACTTGCAGTCAATTAAAAAAGTGAAAATCAGTGAATAATTTATCTGTAATACAAGTTCATCTTACCTGTAATTCCAGAATTCTGGCTGTGTGTTGTTGAAATTCTTATGACGAGCTGAATATATGGTTCCTCTTAGATTCCCCATCCATACGTCATAACCGGCATCCGATAGTTTGTAACCTGTTGACATATGTACGCATAAAGGTAAAACTATAGCCAAGATTATCAGCAAATGGCGAATTATTACCTCTAGCCTCCACGTGCCTAACATTAAATCAGTGGTGTAGAAGTGATACCCCCTTTAACCTCGGGATGAATAAGGGAAAACCTCAGCGGAATATGCAAAGTGTAATGTAATTTGCATTCTATTACCTGCAATGTATGCATCACAAAATCATAATATAATGTTGATAATGAATACGAAGCAAATATAGCAACGTTCAGATATTTGAGAACGATATTAAGAAATTATTATCACTTTCAGGAATAAATAAAGAGCAGATTGAGTTGAGGAATGCTTGCTATCAGTCTTTTCAATGTCTCTTTCTTTCCATATGTTATCCAAAACACTCACTCATGGAGCTGAGCCCTTCTTTAGAAGCTGCCAATTGTTCAGCCACTCAAGAACTTCCCAGCATTTTATGGAACCCGAAGGTTTATTACCTTGTTCATAAGAGCCCTCTATTGGTCCCTATCCTGAGCCAGATAAGTTCAATCCATCCTATCCCATCCTGTTTCTCTGAGATCCATTTTAGTATTGTCCACCCACCTACGTCTTGGTCTTTCCAGTGGTCTCCTTCCTTCCGGCTCTCCCATCAATATCCTATATGCATTTCTCCCCTCCCCCATCCGTGCTGATCCAAAACACGAGGATTACAATATATAAAACTGTAATTGCATCCGTGGGGCACGCGTTAGCATAGTTGGTTGAGGCACTATGCTACAAGCCGGAAGGTCGCTGGTTGAAGTCCCGATGAGGTCATTGGATTTTTTTTTCAATTTACCTAATCCTTCCAGCCACACTATGGCCCTGGTATCGACTTAGACTCTAACAGAAATGAGTACCAGGAATATTCTTGGGGGTAAAGGGCGGCCGGCCCGTAAGGCTGACAACCTTGCCGCCATCTATGAGCCGATTGTCTAGAAAATGTGAGAACCTCAACATCTCACAACCCTATGGGCCTCCACGGCCTGTTGCAGGGATACCTTTACTTTTAATTTCAACTGTTGTTTTGTTTTATATGCGAGAAAATGTTGGTATCTCATTCATTTGGATTCATTTGGTTCAGGATCGGTCCTAGTCCCGGGCTTCGTGAACACTGCAATGAACTCTCGGGTAATATATATACTGTATATAAGCGAGCAGCTTCTGCACTAGCTAATCGACTATTGTCTTCTCAGGAGGAGTCAGTTAGTTAGCTAAAAGTTGTGGACATGAGAATTATAATGTGATGCAGAAATATGAATTCGGAAATGTATTCCGGTAATTCTCAGAATTCCCGTGTCCTTGTAGTTTGTAATTTGCAGAAGATCGATGTATCATGGATGACACGAACATAAACTAATTACATAATTACAGAAAAGATATTATCATCCTCATTCAGAGGACAACAAATTCCTGTTGCTAGGTCGCCATGATGCCTAAATATTACATAATGGTGCGTACTTTTTTAAAAAGATATTGCTCGATAACATTCTATGTTGTACAGAGATATTGGGCTTTCGGACCTTATCCATCGTCCTGGTTTTTAAGATAACTAATAAAAACACGACGTTTCGGAAACGGGATCTGTTTCCGTCCTCAGGTGAAGGAAAACACCTATTATGTTGGTTCCCTTAGAAAGAGCTAGCCTCAATCACTGGTCCACTGGTCCCTCACCTGAGGACGGAAACAGATCCAGTTTCCGAAACGTCGTGTTTTTATTAGTTATCTTTAAAGCCAGGACGATTGATAAAGTCCCAAAACCCAATATATCAGTGTGTTATACACCATCGTCTGAATCCTACAGTAACTATTCTATGTCTTAGTAGTTCAACGACCCCAGACCAAAGTCTGGCTGTTAACTTTACCTTTAAATCTCCTTGATACGTTTTATTCGTTCTCGTTTATGTGATGGATTAATCAGTTTAGGCTAGTACATTAGAATAAGGAAATCTGGTGTCGTAAAATCACTGAGATTCACTCGCAACAGCCTTGCCTTCAGATAACGTTCCCCTTCAGCGTTATAGTCAAAGCCATCCGTTCTGTCCGCCTCCGCACTGCTGCGGGTTCTCCTCCTTAAGTCTACAGAACATATAGAGTTAAGGAAAGGCTATAGATCTTACGGCTGGAGCCAGAGTAGATCAATCATTGTAGTGACTAAGGTACGGTGTTCGTTTAAATTATGTTTGCTCAAATGTTGGATCCTGTTGGGCTGCGCTTATTTCTTTCTGTGCCAAAACCAAAAGCTAGATGTTACACAAGACAATATATTCTCTATATGTTGCAGATAATGCCCACGTATTGGTATTGAATGTAATAGACTCAGCTCGACAGGATCCAACATTTTAGTGATCTTATTTTTAAAGGACCTTATAGCGAATTATATATACTCGTATATATATAAATACTATAATATAATAATACAATATTTTAAAATTAGCATTGCATTGACACACGAAAAAATAAACTATACAGTGAAATAGTGGCAGGAAATTAATATGTGCCTGATGATAGCCGTATACGGCCGAAACATGTCGCAAATACAGGCCAGAATATGTGTTGCATTTGCGACTACAATAATATGGCAATTATAACATAAACTAATAATATTAACGCAGTAGGATGCGTAGGTACAGTCGTTGCGGACAATCGACACGGGGTTGTCATACAGCTTGGTTGTTGTTTGGGCAGAGTGACAACTCTCACCGTGAAGTTCTATCACGTTACGAAATGTTTCAAAAGTCCTCGAAGGGTTAGGCGGAGTAGAACAAGACAGATACCAGTGGCTGGCTGTTGTGAGCTCTGTAATGAACGTTTGGGGAAAAGAATCTCTTAGCCCACTAAACGACCATGAGTAGCATACGTGAGTTAAATGCAAGGTAAGTTTAAAATGGTGAAGGAAACGATAGTTATTATTGTTCTAAGCAGTGAAGTTTATTGCTCACTGATATGTTTTGTTTTGTACAGTTCGACAACAAAGCAGGCTAAATGCAGTTACCACGTGTCACGGTTGGGAGATCCTTCTGACAGTTCTGTACGAAATCTACCAGAGGACTTGTTGGGCGCCATTACAGGTTTGGTGCCTGCGAAGAGCTCCTCGTCAGCACAAAACCTTAGCTACCTGTTAATGTTTCTGCGCTATTTACAAGCTGCTCTATTCTGTCAGCACAGAAAGGTGCATCGTGAGAGAATATTGGTTATTGTCCGTTGTCTTCAGTAGGTTAGGTGCACGAGACGAGAACGTAAAGTCTCTTTGTATCCGAGAGTGGAAATAAAAGTTTTATTCATTCGAAAATATCATCATTGGGATAAAATAATTTTAATATTCATCATTTTGTAATTAATATGAAATTTGTCAACCTTTCAGATTATAGAACAAAGTACTGAACGACAATATATTGTCCTTTGTTTAAGGTTATAAATTTTTATCTTATTTACTTCATATCTGCTTATACATGAACCCACATGTGCCGGTTATGTATAACCTGTCTCATTTATTTTTACACTTCTTTGTTTCTTAATTTAAGTGACAGTTTCCCACACGTCATTCGGAAAAGTACATTAAGGTTGAATATTCCCCGAGTGTACATGCTGTCACGTGTATGAATGTGACTATCGACGGGGGTTTGGATTGAAGATTCCATTTAATGATCGCTTTAACACACGACCCGTGACTACACCTAATTATAGCGCCATCACTTATCTCCACGCTTTAGAAATTACGTGTACTATAACACACACTAAGTCTTTTTAGTCTGCTGTGTCTTCGCCACTCGTTCCCTGGGAACGGCTTCTAACACTGGAGATTCTTCAGCTTCCGCGCTCACTTCGTTGCCCTCTGGCTCTCAACTGTTCCGACTAAGTCTCTTCACAGACTCCTTTACAATTCGCTGACTTCTATTATAAAACTTCTGTAGTTGATACAGATCTCAGAATAACCGAATGAATGAATAATAATAATAAAGGCAAAGGTAAAGTTGTCCCTGTGCTTAACCAATTAAACACTACGTCGTGAAGGCGTATGGGGGAGTGGGTGTATAGATCCACATTTTCTTGACCTCGGCACTAGCTGGAGGTGGGTGGTTAGCTTCACGCCCCGACCGCTTGACCCCCAGGTAAAGGGCCCCTGGTAATCATTGGGTAGGAGTGTGGATGGGCCCGAGAGCCGGTCTGGACGACATGGAGAAGTTAAAATTCTTGCCTCCACCGGGACTCGAACTCCGATCCCCGGTAGTCGCTATACCGACTGCGCTATCCCAGCCCTCCATGAATAACAGAGTAGCAGAAAATTAATTAGTTCGTGAAGAGCTATTATGTTTACGGTTCTTTGGAGTTTACATTAAATTTCTTAATTCGCTCTCCCCGTTGCCAGGGGTCACGTGCAATATGACAAATAAGCTCCTTTTGAGGAATCTGTCATCCATCCCCACGCGAAAGTTTGCTCCGTGCTGATCGCCGAGCTGAGGACAAACACTGTAATACTAAATGCGCCGTCACAAGACTGTCAGAATGAAACATCTTGGAGGCAGGTGCGAACTTCAACTTTCTCGCTTTATGAAAACGGAAGGGAACGGAACACAAGCGGAAGAGATCCATGATATAAGTTTCTTCGGCTTCTCCCACGCCATCTTGTTGACAGGAGAAATAAATAATCGGATTGTGAATATTAGTAGTTCCACATTTTCATTATTACTTTGTAACAATTTCTCCAACTCCCGAGAAATTCTGCGTCTGTTATATTACTTTAGAAGAGGGGTATGGCGTTGGGGAAGATAGCGCGTTCCAGCACAAGTAATTTCCGTGTAACTTGGAAGTGTTAGGGTATATCGTATAGAGAAGAACGTAAAGCGAAGACGTGAGATATAGGTCCTTAAATTCATTCATCTCCATTCCTTGGTTTTAATTTTCACAGGTATATTTACCTACCAGGACCCAGGATAGCGTAGTCGGTATAGCGACTGGCTACGGGCCGGGCGACTGAGTTTTAGGAGTTCGATTCCTGATAGTGTCAAGAAATTTCTCTTCTCTACGTCGTCCACACTGGCTCTGGAACCCACCTAACCTCCTATCCAGTGGGTACCGGGAGCTCTTTCCCCGGGGGTAAACCGGCCGGGGCGTGTATATATACGCAATTATATACGAAAAGGTGGGTTGTTCAGCTTGTTGTGTTGTGCTGCGCATAGAAGGGACCAAAAACCACGATAAGGGAGCACAGCAGTTTCCTCATTTATATTTTATAATTTTAAAACACCTGATGGTGACTTTATAAGTCGAAATATGTGAATAACTTTTAATAAAGTAAAATCTATATGACATGTACAATTTAAAGTGAATAACTTTCAGTAAGTTTTATAGAAAGGCGTGCTGCACGTGAGACTATGAAACCTTTTGATACTTAGCAATTTTATGCACTCCCCTATTACTTTCTCTGTAATTCATCTAAATCATACCGCTCCTAACCCATCCTGAACCGAGCAGGAATAACATGCTGGAGACTGATAAGTAAGGATGTATTCATGGCCCCTTTGAAGGTACTAACTCGGCGTTCGCCTGGATGAATTTGCTTGTCCGGCCGTCCCCTCCTACGCTGTTACACAATTACTGACTAAGCACTAGTAACTTTCCTCCACTCACCTAGAGCTTTGTGAGGACCAGTCAGGACCCAATCCAGCGAGCTGGCCAGCACTCCATGCTGAAGGAACACTGCAGGCTTTCCACTTGTTTCAAACACGTAGTCCCTCCCGTCACCTCGGGGCTTGGCCTTCATATCCTCTGGCGGCTTGGATCCCATGCCTAGTTCATTAGAGTTGAAAGGGCTGTTCTGTGAAGGGCTGTGATGTCGGTGGAGTTTACTACTGTAGGGGATGCGATGGAGGGTAAGCTGGTAACCATCTTCTGTTACGACTGCGTGGCTCTCCACAGGGTAACCGTGCTGATTTATCAGCTCGGGCTGGCAAAATGAAAACCGCCGTCACTAACATCATCTAACTTGAAGTTAAATTGGAATTGCCATTGTCACTATGCTTTTACTGACAGTATGTTAGTCATGCGCGTTGACACTCAGAAAGTTGCACCCATTACTTGTTTTCCAGTTAAACAGCTGACACAGTTGTTGGCGCAGTTTCCGTGCACACAATTAAGTGCTATGTGTGGTGTGTAATCAAATTACTTTGCAGATCATTGTCGTTTGGTCCATGGATGCCAACAGAGTCAGAAGCAAAATAAATCGAAAGTGATTAATAGAATAAAGTCATTTAATTTTTAATTCTTGAAGAGTTCTGTCTTCTGGGATATAACGCCGTTAGTTCTTTGAAAGCGAAACAAAGGTTCGGAGGAGCATGTCGCCTCCATCCTCAGGGTCGAAGAATAAAAAGAGCAAGAAGCCAGCTTGAAAGCAGGTGGAAAGCAGAGCATTTGATTCTTACATGCACTGACGCTGTGACTATGAAACTACACAACTTACTAGAAAAAGTTTGAGATTTTACGGTGAAGATTAAGAATACTATCTTCTGGGATGTGACGTCATATAATCTGGTAGAGCATTACTGTCGTTTCGGAGGAACGTGCAGCGTCCATCTTCAGGAGTAAAAATTGAGGCAGTACGTTTCTCTGAAATGTTGGTAACGTTCTACCAGGCGACACGATGTCACATTCCTAAAGACTAATCTGAACTATCCTACAGTCTTTGCTGCTTTGTTTTAATTTATGACGCTATATCAACTGAAGAGACTCTTTAGCTTCCAGTGAAATATATTAGAAAAATAAATAGTGGTTGTTCTGAGGAGAAGGTACAATGGCAGACTTGAAGAGGAAAGGCATAGGAGTATAAATAGGTCTCTTAAGAATGAAAAGCAGGCGGTGTGTAGGCAGCGCTGTAGCTCAGGTGGTTAGGTTAGTCTTCGGTTTCCCACCGCGGCGACTCGGGTTCGAGCCCCGGTCGTGTCATGTGGGATTTGTGGTGGACAAAGTGTATTGGGGCAGGTTTTCTTCGAGTACTTCAGTTTCCCCTGCCAATTCGCATTCCAAGATGCTCCTCAATCATCATCGTCTATCATCTGGGACTGGTATAATAGGTCAAACAGTGGCCGCAGTACCAGGTGAACACAGTCTCACCTCATGATGATGATGATGATAATAGTAATAATAAATAAAGGCGGTGTGTATCTGACGATCCATTGTTACTCGTTTGATCTACGTGGTGACAGCAGAGACATGTAAGCGACTGTCTCAGAACTCCTCATTTTAAACTGAATGAGGAAAGTTCGTAGTAAATTAGTTTATTAAAACATTGCATGACCTTTTCTTCTTCCGCCATTCTGTTCACCCACTACCACCCTCACATCGTAACTCCTGCTATTGACACAACCTCTTTGTAACGAACAATCAATCTCCATATGATGGCTATACAACGTCGGGCTATTCATTGTCTCTTCTAAAGAACTAACGTAATGAAATGAGATTTTTTCCTAGTTCATTTAGACACACGTATACCGCAAGCGAACTATAGCGACCGGCGCTTGTCGGCGGAGTTAGTGCCAACTTTAGCGGATAGAGGGTGTCGCGTGGTCAGCGCAACGAATCCCCATGGCCGTTAATCTCGGTTTTCTAGACCGGAGCCGTTATTTCCTTGAAATAGCTCCTCAGTTATCCTCACGAGGCTGAGTGGACCCCGTTCTAGACCCACTACTTCTCAGAAAATCTGGTAGCGCCGGGAATCGAACTCGGGACCTCTGGATCGAGAAGTGTCGAGAGGAAATGCAGCGTGTCTCGCCATGTGGATACTTAGCGATGTTTCTGTGTATGGACGTGTACGTATTTGCCGAGATAATGACTGTCAGATATTGACGTGAACATCGCAAAAGCACTAAGCGCTCCTATGTCTACTGTTGTAGTGAGAATAAAATATTTTTTCCTTTCAATTTGATCAATATATTCAGTTATCTTTGTGCTCAAATATCAAATCTTCTTGACTTTATTTTGCACTAACCTTAAGCTCTTGTCAGAGGACATGCCCCAGCTAAACTCGTCCTGCAAATGCCTTCCCAGTGCACAGTGTGTGCTAATCTCCCTTCTGAAAGTTCGAGAGGCACTTGAAGTGATTCCATTTTCTATTCTGCAACTTTTTCCATGGTCTGTTTACGGTTTGGAAAGGTATGGCAGGAATACGAACCTGTACACATATTGACTTAGTCGGACGAACAACGGCGAAGCTGTCAGAAAGCACTGTATAAAAATGATGGATTGCTTTTAGTCGTTTAAGTTCCATTGTTTTCAGCTTTTTCATTCGTGATAGAAATATTAGTATTCTGGCGTCTGTTGTTGCAGTAATGTTATCAGGCTTCCTTCATTCTAAATATTTTTATTTCATTGTTTTGAATCTTGCTCTAAAATGGCACAGATATTTAGGTACCTCCCGGAATTGTATAAAATATCACCGTTCCCCTTTTGTACGATCGGCTAGACGATTTATTTGCACTTGATTTTTGTACATAATAGTTTTAATTTTCGGGAAAGTTCATGGAGATAGGCCTAGGCCCACTGGGGCTATAGTGCTAAGGGAAAAAAGTTTTAATTACGTATGCTCCTTCCCTAAATATAGGAGAGCAAAGGAGACAATTTTAGGCATGTTCACATCTACGCGGAGCGCCTTTTAAAATCGATACTTCAAGTCTTCTGTCTAACCGTCTGTACGCATGAAACAACTCGGAAAAATGTAGACAGAATTTGATCCAGTTTGATGTTAGATAACATTACGAGAAGGTTCGCGCCGTTTCATTTTAGGTCGGATAAATTTGACAGAAACTACACACGTAACGATAAATAATTTTGTATAGCTCCTTGCAATAAATATTTGAAATATAGGAAGATTGTCTCCATGAATGAAGTTTTCATGCTGACCTTGACAGCGATAAACATTCAACACAACACTCATTCGAGACAATTTTCAACACTCTGTTCGTTTTCAATAGTTTCCTCGTGTGATCTTATCAGGATAGCTCATTCTACATGAAAGTAAACGCTTCAGTTGTTGGAAGATCGCCATTAAAATGCAAGAAAAAAAAAAGTATTATTAAGTTCAGAGTGCGTTTAATTCAGATCAGTGCAATTCTCTCAATGCGCTGCTCTACTACAACACGTCTCTGAAGCGCACATTAAAGAATTTATAGGCCCACATATTTGTTTTTCGCGCGCAATTCTATGCGCACGCGCGTTCCTTACCTTCTCGTTTTTCTATATTCATCATCTTCCCGCGCTATTCCATGCGCATGCGTGTTCCTTTACAGCTCCGTCTTTCTAACTAAGCTAATTCCATAGATCTGAGCCCTTCTTGAGAATTCACCACTCATGCAGCCGCACAGGAATTTCCCAACATTTTATATAACCCGAAGGTTCATTACCGTGTTCATTAGATTCCTCCACTGGTCCCTATCCTAGCTAGATTAATCCAGTCCATACTATCCCACCCTGTCTCTCGAAGATCAATTTTAATATTATCCAACCACCTACGTCTTGGTCTTCCTAATGGACTCTTTCTTTCTGGCTACCACACCAACATCCCATATGCGTTCCACTTCTCCCATTCGTGCTACGTTCCTTGCCCAGCTCATCCTTCTTGAGTAAGATAATTTATCCGCATTATCCGTCAAAGTCTGAGGCTTTTTGTGACACACCATACAGGCTTATTTTTTAAGGTGAGGAGCTTGACGCCCCACGCCCAACCCCAAAGCTGGAGGGCCACCCCCTGTCGGATGTCCGTGACTGCTTATTCAATATATTCGCAGCTACCCTCCATATCTGNGAGCTAGTTCAATCCAGTCCATACTATCCCACCCTGTCTCTCGAAGATCCATTTTAATATTATCCAATCACCTACGTCTTGGTCTTCCTAATGGACTCTTTCTTTCTGGCTACCACACCAACATCCCATATGCGTTCCACTTCTCCCATTCGTGCTACGTTCCTTGCCCAGCTCATCCTTCTTGAGTAAGATAATTTATCCGCATTATCCGTCAAAGTCTGAGGCTTTTTGTGACACACCATACAGGCTTATTTTTTAAGGTGAGGAGCTTGACGCCCCACGCCCAACCCCAAAGCTGGAGGGCCACCCCCTGTCGGATGTCCGTGACTGCTTATTCAATATATTCGCAGCTACCCTCCATATCTGGAGGTCGTATCCTCCTCCGCAACCTGAGGACGCGCCATGCCATGGTAACAAGGGGCCCACATAACATGGCTCCGTCTTTCTACATTCTTCATCTTCCCTCGTTCTTGTTTGCGCCATCTTGTCGTTTCTTGCTCCGTATTCTGTATTCTTCATCTTCCCTCGCTGTTCTCTGCCCCCTCTTGTTCGTTTCTTGCTCCGTTTGTTCCATATTCTTCATCTTCCCTCGCTATTCTCCACGCCATCATCTTCTTTTCTTGCTCCATTTTTCTGAATCTTCATCTTCCCGCGCTGTTCTCTCATGCATGTTCCTGTCATCTAGCTAATGGATCCATCATTTCAAAACCAATTCTGAGCCTAATCTGTGACAGACGAAGATGATGGACTTTCTTTTTTCCACAATGCTTGACCATTACTCTCATATTTCACTCTTTTCATTTTCCCCGCAAAGAAACTGAGGTCGCCTGTACCGCAGAGGACAGACAATTCACATATCCGCAAACGTATTGCTCTGTACTCTGTCCAGGGAGCGCGTCGTACCCTGAGTAGAAACCTAAGGCAAGAAAAGTACAATATGTTCAATAGGATCTCTCTGGTATGGCGGTTTTAGTTCCTGTTGTTTGTAGAATAGAGAATCTGCTACCTTTCTCTTCACTGTCTGAAAATGATGAGTACGATATGAGCATCTAGTTTCCATAAATCTCTCTCTCTCTTTCCTGTTGCTGCCACTTGGAGCATAAGACATTCGTGAAACGCTTTATTTCACTTCAGTATCTTAATCCTAAGACAGTCGGTAGGACTC